TGGCCAGCTTTTGGGACTTCTGATGCATTACGTTGATGTGTTCCTTGAAGAGCCTTTTCTTGTTTGTGACACAAACTCCCAGGTACTTGATCTGTTGAACCACAGGGATGTCTGCGATGACCTTGGGTTGCTCCTGACAATTGTAGATGATGACCGCGCTCTTGTCTTTGTTTATCTTCAAACCGAACTTGCCACTGATGTCCGCCAGCGTTGTCACTAGGTGCTCTGTCTCCTGTAAAGTCTCAGTTAGGACGAGTCCGTCGTCAGCAAAGAACAACACTGGGATTCGGACAATATCATTTTTGAAGCCCAGTCCCGTATCTGTCAGAGCTTTGGCGATAAGGTATGTTACAATCTTGAAGCTTGTCGTTGACCCATTGCATCCTTGTCGTATTCCTGATGTGACGTCGATGACTGCTTCAGTCCTGTCATTGAGCTTGATTTTCGTTGAGTCTCCCTGGTAGATTTGCGTCGTAGCATCAATGATTTTGGAGTCGATCTTGTAGAACTTCAGGGCTTCTACCATTTCAGCTCTATTAACCGAATCGAAGGCCTTCGAATAGTCAATGGCTGTCACAAACAATGGCTTTTTCCTGCGAAAGCTGTCTTCAACGCAGTAACGCAATAGGAATAAATTGTCTTCAACCTTCCCCCCACTAGTGAAACCTGCTTGTATCTCTAGCATTTCATCATTATACTTTAAGTGACTCTCAATTTTATCCTTCAGAATACTCATGAACAGCTTGTATGATATGTTTGTCAACGCTATGGGACGCAAGTCTTTTGCAGTGGGTTTCTTGATCTTGGGGATCATTTTAGTCTTCGACGTCTTCCACGAATCTGGCTTCGAGTCGGCATCCAGTTGCTGTTGTAGACAGCTTGTTAGGGTATCTAGGCCTTCCTTCGTCATTACGAGTGCTTTGTATAGTTCCGGTTTGAGCAAGTCTGGTCCTGGTGCAGTTTTGTTCTTCAGTCCGGATACTGCTTTTTTCACATCTTCTACTTCAATCTGTGTGGGGTTCATCTGTGATATTTCCTGTCTCACAGGGAGAGCCATATCCATCAACTCTCTCATGTGTCTCGGGAAGTGGGGTCCCTCGTGCACAGTTCTCCTCATACCTTCTTCATATTCCTTCTTCACATCACTGTTCCATATTTTACTGATCTCGTTTGAGTGCTGCTGGTACACAGTTTTCCAGAATTTCACCAACTCCTCTTCTTCCACTTCTGGTTCCAGTTTCTTGCCTTCATTGTCATACAGTTGGATGTCTTCTTGGTTTCTCTCCTTCTTCCTTAGTTTGTCAATGTTTTCAAACATTGACTTGCTCTTGTTAGCACTGTTCCTGATTTCTTCAGTTGTCTTCTTTTCTGATTTTGTCACAGCCTCTTTCACCATTTCCTGGACCTTCTTTTTCTGTATTTTATACTGTTCATTGAGCAGCTTCTCTTGATCTTTGTCTTTGGTGTTTCGTTTTTCCCGGTTTATGGCCCTGCGTTTCTTGATAGCTTCCCTGATTTCATCTGTGACCCATGGCTTTTCTTTCACCTGTTGCCCTATCAGGCTTTTCTTGCGGTATGTTGCTTTTAACTTGCTGTTGGCCACTTCTGTCATCAGGCCATTGAGCTCCTCTATGTTTGTTATGTTCTCATTTCGGAGCCTTCTCTGCATCTCTTCTCCGAAGAGTTCCAATGAGCCAGCATCTACCTTCCAGAATTCTCTGACACTTGTCGTTCCCTTATTAAAGCTTTGGTTTCTTGTGGGTATTTCCATTCTGACCGAGATCATATGGTGATCTGAGAGGTCAAAAAGCTCCCTCTCTTCATCAATTGTCATGCTCTCAATACGCTGATAGCACCTCCTATTTGCGAGGACATAATCGATTGCACTATTTTGGTCCTGCCTTGACCATGTATATGTACCTTGGCAAAATTCTTCTAGGTTTAGCAGTATCAGTGATGATTTATTTGTCCAGTCTAAGACAATTCTCCCATTTTCATCTTCTCTTTGATAGCCAAGCTGTCCAATGTGTCCGTTCATGTCTCCGAGCAACAATAGAGCCTCATCTTTTGCCATAATTGTTTCAATTATGTTATCAATTTCAGCTTTCATGTTTTTATTCCTCTCACAGTCTTCAGCAGATTTCCTTACAGACAGATATACAAGGATGATGTGCAACTTAAAACACCCTAATTCCATGACTGCATGCAAAATGTCTGTGCTACACGTTCTTTGTTTTGCAACACTTGTCCCTTGCTTAGTTTGGAACATTATCCGGAGTCCCCCTCCCTTCTTATCCCTCATCTCTCTCATACTCTCAATCATTGTAACACCTACAGAAACTTCATACTTTTCAAATTTTTGTTGTGTTTCTGTAAGACACAGTATATCACAGTTTGTTTTCAAAAGTTCTTCAAGCTCAAGAAGTTTATTTCTTGTGAGGCCCTGCACATTCACCATGTTGACTGTAACAGTTTTACTCTTTATCAGCTGATTTCCCCTTTTCTTCTTTCTTGGTAGTTCATTGGTTTCTGATGACCCTTCCTCGAAAGATCCTGTGTGTAGCAGTCCCCTTTTCCTCGAGTTCCTTTTTCAGCTCATGGAACTTCTTCCTCTCTTCTGGCGTTCTATCCAGGGATATGTATTTATTTTCTATATTTACCTCTCTCATCCTCATGCGGTTCTTGTAGATTTCTTCTGCCTCTTCCCTGCTGGACAGTCTCACCAGCATCAGCCTGTTCTTCTTTGTCGTCTCATCTTTCTTTCCGAGCCTGATGATTTTTTCTGTCTTGAAGCTCCTGTTTTCTCCCATAAGCTTTTTCATCATTTCCTTGAATTGTTGTTCATCATGGTCTTTTCTTTCTTCAACATTGGCAGACTTTGACTCGTCTATGTTGTGGAAGATCAGGTTTTGTGCTCTATTCTCCTTCTCTTTCAATCTCACGACTTTCTCTATGTTGGTTGTGTTACTCTCCAGGACTTGACTTTGTTGGGCCATCTGCCTCACCACACTTTCTTCCATCCCTTTGAGTTTATCACTCTGCTCTTCACTTTTCTGTTTGATAACATTGACTGCTTCAGACATTTCCGCTGTTCCCTTCATCGCAGACTGCAGTTTGCCAACTTGATCTTCTATCTTCTTTGCAGCTTCAGCATATGTTTTTGCTGGTTGTGTTTCTTTGATGCTTGTGATGATCACTTTCTCTTGCTGCTTCATGGCTGCCAGGATTTCTTGTTTTTGGGCCTTGATGGCAGAGATTATTGCCTGGTTGTCTTCCTGCACATTTTCTTTCTTGTCAGCCTTTGGTTGTGATTCCTCCTTCTCTTCTCCCATTGTGATGGCCCTTCTTGCAAGCTCTGGGAGGATAGCACGGCACTCCGAACATAACCAGAACACTCCCTTTGTCTCCTGGAGGGCTTTGTAGGTTTCCGACTGCACCTTCTGGCAATCCAGATGGAACCAGAACTTGCATCCATCACAACATACTCCATCTTGATTGTCTTCAACCTTGAGTCCACACTTCTTCTTGCTTCCTTTTCTTCTTCCTGGTCCTCCCCGGCAGATGTCGTGAGACGGCTGGCTCGTACCCGACGATGAGCGACTTCCAAATGGTTTATAAACATTAGAGTCTAGCCGCTTTACTCTACTTCCACCTTGTCCTTCCACATCCTGGTCATCATCGTCAGAGTCGAGTTCTTGAGTTTCGTTGAGCGCCTGTCCCACATTGTCAGTTCTTGTCTCTGTTTGAGCCTTAGCTCTATTTAGTTCTCCGTTTTTAGAAGTATCGGCCTGTGATTTATCCTTCTCCTCTACACTGGGTGACCCTGGTGGGGTTCTTTCAAGCGTATTTGATGGTTTAAATACGTCTCGATTCATGCCAGGCTGAGACGCCATATTGGGTTTAGATCATGCCCATGCCAGCATGCACGAGCAGGAACAGGAGGGTCAAACAGAAAAGTATGTGCAAAAACAGAATAACAAAACAATAATTCAGGCAGAATAATGCAACAAAAAAGAGTATAATATGCTGAAAACCAAAAATAAATATAGGACAAACGGGACACCCGACCTACCACGCCTAGCAACTGCCAAGGTATATGCCAAGGTCTGATACTCCCAATCTGCACACACCGACTGCTGATGGGTGCAGTTATTTTTTTACATCTTAGTTTTTGTTTATGCGTTTTTAGACGTTTCTCGGCGCACTGTTGTTGAAGTTATACAGGCCTATTTTACAGCTATTTTTGATTCACAAAACTACTGCAACTTTAAGAATTTTTTTTTTGCATATTGACATTTTGATGGAATTGGAACGCATTAAAAGATTTTTATTCTTAAATGTTGAATGCCAATATAATAACAATGTGAATCGAGCCACGCTCGTAGCGAAATATTACGAATCAATGATAACAGTAACCGGCAGAAAATATGTAGTTACCGCGATTGTATAAGATAATACTATATGTTCCGCGTGAAATTGACAGGAGATACCACAAGAATAATAGCCTAAACAAATATTGAAATAACTGAAAGCTCATAATACCCGCTTAGCACTGCTAACGCTGACCATTTTCTTCGAAGATTAAATGCTTACCATACCATAACATCTGAAGATAATGAACTTGAACCTCGAAAAGCGAGTTGTCCAGTTTCAGTCTCAGTTTGTGCGGTACTGGGATACATTCATTATCAGTGAATCAAATAAAAATTGTCCGGGGCATCATGCTGTGATTATATGAACCAGTTAATATGTATAAAATCTAGTTATTGGCCAAACGTAACGGCCACGGACCGTAGGTTGACGACCCCGAAATTTAGCGAAATGAAGAATAGGTTCAAGCAGTTTAAATAATGCTGGTGCGAAGAGTTGAATAGTGATGTAAATGTGGCCACAGTCTACAAACACGATAACAAATATCGATTGCGCTTCGCTCAACCAGAGCCATGCTCGTTCTTGCTCATGAAACAGTGCACCCCCATAAAATGAAAAGTCTGAACGAATGCATTCAGGTTCCCACCTCTGAATCACTTTATATTGAGATCCGTTTCTTAACAGGAACACAAACGCGGTCCATCAATTTGTCAGTACTAAGGCAACAGCGTCTGACAAATGACAACGCATTAAATGGCCAACTTCTGACACTATCTACCAATACGAACGGCAATAAAATTGCATTGCAAAATGCAAATAGAATTGCACGATTTCCAAGCGCAGCTTGAAACCAAGTGCGACCAGCTAGTGTCATTTTCACAACCAAGTGCGACCAGTTAGTGTCTCGAGACACATTCCAACTGCATAGGTACCGCAGTAACCCATTAGGGGCGAAAGGAAACACATGACTTGTGTACGACCAGCGTTCTGTCAGCGTACGACGCATAAAGCAAACTGCTCAAACAACTGCGGTCCCGAACAGCACAACACAGAGCTCCGAAACGAATGGTTTACAAAAGTCTACGACTGACGACATCGAAACAGTACGTTCATCGGGACTAGACGTCACATGACTCGCTCAACCCAGCTGGGTTATGGGTACTAATTGCGCTTCAAATTGACCTCTGACAGCCATTTACTTACGCTAGTTTGATGCATAAAACTGTACATTGAAACTCAAGCGACAGATAGGTCTCCATCATACAACAGAGCACCTCGCTAAAACGAGCGCGAGCGCACGTTTTGAAAAAACCGCACTGTTACACTAAACCGCACTGTCACACTGACAGAACACTGAGCCGCGAGTCGTGACAGTCGCACTGCGTCATATGCACGTAGATGTCGCACTCACGGCACTGTTGCTGGCACTGCGCTGCGGGTGGACACGCGCGGTGCAGTAGCTCCACGGTGTGCGGCTCACCAGAGGGATTACCAGTCTCCGACCAGACAGTCCAGGCGGGAAATGCGGTGTCTTCAATCATGACCGCCGTCCCCGTCTCCGCGGAGTGCCGCACGGCGGTGACGCGGCGGCGTCGGATCTTGAGCTGGTGGACACTGGACTCCTGCCAGAGCTACCAGCTTCAGCCCTTCAGCATCCTGTCATCAGCAAACTCCAGCAGAGCTCCAATGCAACTGGGAAAATAAAATTTATGCTGTTAAGCTAAATCATGCAAAACATTTCCTTGCACAGGATTCTCTTGCGCAGTTCAGCAAAATCTTCTGTGATATCCATGGCCGTGACAACTGACAAGAGGACTTGATGCCATTGTAAAAAATATAGGTTCATTGGTTCTCATTTACCCACATCAAGCCTCTATAGGTACCATTCACTTGTATATCATGAAGTATGTTAACTACACAATATTTATGCAATAGACTGACATGAAATATGTAGGAATGGCAAGAGAGATGGGTAAATAAGCCAAATAGGTTGCAGGATTTATTGGCACCAAACAGGTCAGAAAGTAGAAGTTCAAACAATCTTACAAACTACCCAGAGAAAGGCTTTGAATTAGGTACAAAATCATGCAACAGAAATAAAAACAATGCAGTTTTGTAGAGCATTTCCCAAAAGATAATTGTGATTCAGCCTTGCTCTCCCATTCTGAGATTGAATAAATACAAATTATGAGGTGAAAGTTACTAAAAAGCAGTTTTTGTTTTTTTAGAAAACAGCTTCAATCCATGTTTGCCTGATTTCAAACTCAAGGCAACATCTCATAGCTTTGACAGCATGAAATTTCATTTTTGAGGTTACAATTTCCATAATCAATTGTCCCAAACAGTGCACTTTAATATGGATAACTAACACCAAATCAGCCAGCCTTGTATCTTTATCTGGTGAAACTCATGAAACCAACAAAGCAAACAATTTCTGGGCAAAACATTTAGGTATTTGACAAGCTCAAGCACTAGCCACTGGAGCGGTATGATGGGGTCTCGTAACTTGAATGTTCAGTCTGTAAGAGCATGCCTGACTTGACTTAACGGCTTTGAGGCATCACAAAGACTTTTGCAGCAGCTCCTATTCTTTTTTAACATAAACTTAAACTATCATTACCATGCTATGATGATGAGGTGGCTGGTTTCGGTCGCATGAAAAGTAGCAGCCCTTCTTCCATTCTATTTCCTTGTTTTCACATGCTGGACAAAATGTTTTTTCTTCCACGTTCCTTCTGTCTTTATAAAAAATAATAGATAACATAATTGCTTCACTTCTTCTTTATATTTCAAGTATTGCTGCTTCAATCCATCACATCTCCCCAGGGCATATTTTAACACACTGACTGCGTCCCATTTTGGGACGCAGCCCCCTGCCTTTGGGACGTAGCCCTCGCGAAATTTGAACCACTGCGTCCCACACTGAAATGCCACGGTTTTATACCCCTAGGGTATGTGCCCTGCCCAGTGTCCTGTCCGTAGGTCTTGTACCTTGACCTGCCCTGCTCTGCATTCAGGCTCTGTGCCCCGCCTTGCCCTGCCCTCAAACCCGATACCTTATATGATACCCGATACCCGATACCAGCCTTGCCTTTGGACCCTGCATCCTACCCAGTCCTCAAGCGCCTAATGTGTCTTATCTTAGCCTCATGGCCAATGCCTGCCCTGTCCGTAGGGCTCAGACTCTGTGCCCTGCCCATCCCTGAGGTTCTGTTTAGAGATGTTAAGGTCGAGACCGCAGGCCCGGCGCCGGGCCCAAAATCGGGCCCGGCAGGGCTTTTCCATGACCTGAACGCGATGCTGCCGGGCTCATGCCGGGCTTGCAGAATGAACAGCGTAATGCTGAAAGGATGTACCGCCGGGCTTGATGCCGGGCTCAAGTATACTTGCACTCAGCACTCATAATTATATGAGTGCTGGGCTTGATGCTGGGCCTAACCAAACTTGATGCGGTGCCGGTCCGGTACTAGTCCCGGATTTCGGGGAAATTTTGACACCTCTAGTCCTGTTAATTGCCCTGCCCTCAGATCCAGAAGGTACTTATATTGATAGAGAATAAAAATATAAGACTTTAGCTAAAACTGGAGAAGAGTAAGACTATCCCTGAACCTGGGCGGAACCGACAGAGGCGAGGCTGTATACTGTACATTATCTCACTTGCATTATATACTATTTCGCTTACGATGTGCCCTTTCCGATCGAAGCATGTGCCCTACGCCATCTTTGGGACGCAGTAAAAAATCCTTAAAATATGCCCTGCATCTCCCGTTAGTAAACCATTGCCCTATGGCTGCTAAAGTAAATAAGTGGAATGCGCCAGAAATTGTCAAAATCGCGCCAAAATAGCAAACTAAGATGAGAAAAAATAACCGCACCCGGCCCTTTGTCTGTGTCAACAGCGCCCTCTGGTGGTTTTTTCCAATAGCGGCGAAAGATATCCTTTGAAAGTCAACCTGTGGTATTGTAATAATATTGTTAAACAAAAGAAAAGCCAGAAACAATATTGTTGAAGTCTCAAACGAAAGTGGAGAAAATGCCGCCGAAGTTGAAACTGAAATCGCAAGCGGAAAAAGGCGGGAGTGCGAGTGCGCCGTGTACGCCGACGGAGACAAATGCGCAACATATAGGCAAGGATATAAGTGCCGCGTCGGAAAATAAAAATGAGGACAGCGATGTAAGTAGTGGAGCTGTGACCAAGAAGCAAAAAGGTAAGAGGGGAGATGATGAAGGCAAAATAGTTTGCAAAGGTCCCAGAGGAGGTTCGTGTGGTAAAACTGTGGAAAACAATGCTGATGGGGGCATTGAGTGTGAATTGTGTCTCAACTGGTTCCATCCTGCATGCCAGGGACTACTAAAAGAGGCCTATGTAGCCATCAGGGAAAATAACCTGTTCTGGCTGTGTCAAAACTGCAAAGTGTTCATGCCAGAGTTCAGAACCTTGGTGCAGGGCAAACTCGGAAAAGTTGTTAATGAGATAGACCAAGCACGCCTACTTCGAATGGAAAGAAAGATAGACGAGTTGAGTAAGGCTGTTCAGGAACAGCACACACTGGCCAGCAAAATGAGAGCAGAAGAAGTAGAGGTAAGAAAGACCTATGCAGATGCTTTGAAGATGAACAGCAGTACAAAACCGGCAGAGTCAATATCAGCAGAAATTCAGGGTTGTCTCTCTGAGCAAGCTGAACAGGAGAAAAGGGCTAGGAACCTAGCAATCTATAATTTACCTGAAAGCCAAGCAGCTTCCGCAGAGGAACGGATCAAGGAGGATATTTCTCTGTTCACGGACATTGTGAAACAGGAATTAAAAAGGAATGTCAAAATAGAAAAGGCATTTAGGGCAGGGAAGAAAGTGGAGGAAAGGCCCAGACCCTTGATTGTGACAATGGAAAACGAGGAAAGCAAGTGGGATCTGCTCAAGGCAGGAAACGGTCTAAGAGAGAGTATAAATGAAACTGCTAAAAGCATATACATAAACAGGGATCTCACCAGAAAGGAAAGAGAGCAGGCAAAGAAAGTGAGAGACGAGTGCAACAGGCGAAGAAGTGCAGGGGAAAAGGTAAGGATTTTCAAAGGAAAATGTGTAGCTGACACTCGAAAAGCAAGTGATGTGAGGGAGAATCCATCCCGAGGGGACGGACCTGTTGGTTCTACCCCGTCAGGACAAAACTGACTAACAACAGGAGGGAAAAGGAAACTGAGATCTCTTAGAGTGCTGTACACGAACGTAGATGGGCTGTTAAATAAAAAGGATGAACTGGAATTAAGGATAAACAATTCTGCAGCCCCCCACATCATCATTTTGACTGAAGTGATTCCCAAAGCACAATGCAACGAAATAGTGCAAAGTGATATAAGGATTCAAGGTTATCAAGCACCGTTGATTAACTTTGTATTGGAAAGTGAGAATCCAGGAAGAGGAGGCAAAAGAGGGATTGCAATATTCATTGCAGAAAATTTGCTAGATGTGGAACAGTTCAATGTCGGCACAACACTGACAGAAGCAGTTGGTGTAAGAATTAGGATCTCCAGCTCAGAACAGGTGAGAGTCGTGGGCATGTATAGAAGCCCATCCATCAATGGACTTGAATCTACCAAGGAAATATGTTGCCTGATTGAAAGATTCACTGAGTCTGAGAGATCTCCAATAATATTCCTGGGGGATTTTAACTATCCTGAAATAGACTGGCAAAGTCATACAGTACGAGCAGGTCAGAATCACCACTCTAATATGTTCCTGCAAGCATGCCAGGAAAATTTGCTTACACAATTTGTACACCAAGAAACTCGCTTCCGCAAAGGGCAAAATTCCAGTACACTGGATCTTATACTTGCTACAGAGGAAGATATTGTCCAAGATGTGCAACATTTGGCCCCACTTGGACATAGTGACCATGCAACTTTGTCACTCCAAATACAATGTAACTGCTTGGAAGCAAAATGCTGCCCAATGAAAAGGAATTACAACAAGGGTAATTATGGAAGAGCCAAAGAGCTGTTACAACAAACTGACTGGAGGGGCATGGCAGAAGGAGGCATAGAACAAGGTTGGCATTTTTTCAAGTCCAGAATGGATGAAATATGTAATGAAGTGTTTCCTCTCCAGCAGTCGAAGCATAAGAAAAATATGTACATGAACAGGGAAGCATTCCGATTAAAAAACAGAAAGGATAAGCACTTCCGGAAGTTTATCAAAACAAACTCTGAAGCAGACTTTCAGAGATATAAGACTAGTAGAAACAAGTTGAGATCTTTCACGAGGAAGCTAAGAAGCAGTTTTGAGAAGAAACTGACAGGTGAACTTAAGTCTGATCCAAAGTCGTTTTGGCGATACTGCAAGTCTAAAGCAAAGACACAAACCAAGATAGATAAGTTCATCAGAGAAGATGGCACAGAGGCAAAAATATCAAAAGAGAAGGTACTTGAGTTGAACAGATTCTTTTGTTCTGTGTTCACCAAGGAAGACATGGCGACCCTACCAGCAGTTACACCAGTGGAGGGGAATCAGATACTAGACGATATAACCATCACAAGAGAAAAGATTGCAAACAAGTTGGTCAAGTTGAACAAATCCAAGGCCCCAGGTCCAGATGGGGTTCACCCCAGCATTCTAAAGGAGACAGCAGAAGAAGTTAGCTTACCACTGTCAATTCTGTTTCGGAAGTCAATGAACGAAGGTAAACTGCCAAGTGATTGGAAGATAGCAAATATTAGCCCAATTTATAAATCAAAGGGACGCAAAGATAAAGTAGAAAACTATAGGCCGATTAGCCTAACTTCACAGGTCTGCAAAATATTTGAATCTTTGATTCGGGATGAATTAATTGATTTCTTCATGGACAGTGAAGTGCTCTCTGATGCCCAGCATGGATTTGTCCCTGGCAGGTCCTGTATATCTCAGATGATTCTTGTCATGGAGGAGTGGTCAAGGAACCTGGATGATGGTACCCCAGTGGATACAATTTATCTTGACTTCAAGAAGGTGTTTGATGCTGTGGCCCATGAGAGGCTAGTCATTACCCTAAGAGGACTTGGCATCAGTGGCAACCTACTAAACTGGATAAGAGATTTCCTGTTTGGGCGCAAGCAGAGAGTGGTACTCGACGGGACAAGTTCTGAATGGGAGGATGTCACCAGTGGAGTCCCACAAGGAAGTGTCCTGGGCCCCACACTCTTTGTAGCTGCAATCCAATCTCTGCCAAAGGACATAACAAGTGCCATAATGATCTATGCTGACGACACGAAGGTGTATCGGCCTGTATTAAGAGAAGAGGATGCAAGACAGCTCCAGAGTGACCTTGATACACTGCTTGCGTGGTCCAACAAATGGCAATTACCCTTTAACACCAGCAAATGTAAGGTCATGCACCTTGGAGCCACAAATATAAAGTACAAGTACACTGTTGGAGACAGGGAGCTGGAAGTCTCATCAGAAGAGAGAGACCTTGGGATCCTGGTTGATGACTCCCTAACATTTCATGCACAGGCAGCTTCAGCAGTGGGAAAGGCCTTCCGCACTTTGGGTCTGATACGACGCACTTTCCTGACCCTAGACGAAATCACACTGCCACTACTTTTCAAGGCGATGGTTAGACCGATACTGGAATATGGAAACTGTGTGTGGGGTCCTGTCTACTGCGGTGACCAAGACAAGGTTGAGAGAGTTCAGAGGCGGGCCACAAAAATGGTAGCATCAGTCAGGCATCTAGCATACAAGGAGCGGCTGGAGAAACTGAAGCTACCAAGCATGCACTACAGAAGAGAAAGAGGGAACATGATCATGGTGTATCAGATTCTAACAGGAGGAATTAGGATCGACCACACCCGGATCTTTCAGAGGGCTCCACCAGACGCCACCACAAGAGGACACTCACTTAAGCTGATTAAACCATCGGCAAATCGCGCGCAGAGGCAGAACGCGTTCTCGCACAGAGTTGTGAACAAGTGGAACAGTCTCCCTGAAGAAGTAGTAAATGCCAGGACAGTCAACAGATTCAAAAATGCTCTAGACAAACACTGGAAGAACTTGCTGTACCAAACCAGAACCGACTAAACTACAAGCCAATGAGCAGGAAATCCACAGGCTTCCTTTTCCTAGCCTATCACCTTTCCTGTAATTCAGTAAGTAAGTAAGTAAGTAAGTAAAACCAACATTGTGGTTTTGATTTTACCTTACATGATAACACACTTGGCTGCAATGGCACATTTAATTTAATACTGTGAAAAGACCAGTTATAACCACTTTACAAGCACAATTGCACCTCATGCCGACATCCTTTTCCAAAGACAGTCAGCAGCGTCTTTCGTCAAAACTGGATGATCAATCCCCTTTCAACTGTTAACATCAACAATATTTCTTCATGGTGTGATCTCCATATGGAAACCTTGCAGGAAAAGAATTAATGTCAATTGTCAGCTCTTCAAAATTTCTTTGGACTTTAACTTGGAGTACCATATCCAGTTTGCTTTGATATTTTGTTTTTTATTCCATGTTGAAGTTGAACACCAAGCTCCAGATATAGCAGGCAGCTTGATCATCTTCGGCCTTGGTATAATATCAGTCCAAGTTCCAGTGGTGGGTATCTTCTAATATTCAAATTAAAATGAAAAGCAATAGGCTTTCTCAGCGCCGACGACGGATTTCACGTTGATAAAAAAGGGTGCTCAAGGTCAGCAAAACTCGGGTTCAAGGAATGGCGGGCGTTGAAATGACTGCTGACGTCATCAAGAAACCGCTAATGGTTAAGATATAGGGACTAAGCTGGTCCCACCCTGCAAGTAAAGGGAAGAAATTTCTTGAAAACCATAAAGCTGCGGGGGTTGCGACCAGGATAAATGGTGGTTTCTGAGCCTGGCCGCAAACTTGGCTATCTCAACTCAAAACTAATGTTAAGGTTGGATGGTCCCTTTAACTTCTTTGAAAATATCTATTTATTTAGTTTAATAACGTTTAAAGCAAAACTCATAGAACTATTGCAAAAACCTTTTTTAAGCAGCGTTATATATTTTTCCTTTAACATGCCTTTTCTAAATTTAATCATTTAGTGGACACTTTCCTCAGTCATATTGAATCGCATAAGCTGCGCGTATGTGACAAAAGATGCGCAAGAACTGATTGGCAAATTATTGTTACCGCCAATATTATGACCCGTGCCGCATTGTGTATTTATTTATCGCCTTGCGGCTTGCTTCAGCATATGGATACTTGCCATTTTACATTTCCAGTTTCAAGATGACTGATTTTCTATTTGGTTCTTCAAAACTGCCTCTAGAAATAAAACTGCTGCATTCTGCAGAAAGAAGCATATCAGAGACTGACTTGAAAACATTGCTTGAAGGTGAGTAGTTTTATGGAATATGGTTTGTAGCGTTTGTAGCTCAGCACGATTGAGTCAAAATGCTCAGAACATTTTGCAGGAATTCAGTTCGTTTTATATGCTATGTAGAAGTATGCATCTTGCTCTGTGAATGTGATTATGCAATAGTTTTAGGGTGATTGGATTGAATGGTGGAAGATGAGGTGTTTACCTATGTTTGAGTCAAGGCCATAGGCCCATAGGTATATACCAAGGTTTGAGTTTTATTTTGGACAGGAATCTCAGTATTTTTCATGTTTACCTACTCTTGGTATGCTGCATGTATTGAATCAATGCCATCAATTTTCTATAGCTGTAAATTCCCATAATGATATATCTGTCAATGACAGGCGAGAGGTGGTCAAGAAAAGCATCGTTACCTTTTGCTGCTAATGAATAATGATGTGGTTGACGACTGACGTGTAGATTTCGTTTTGTCATAGGGGCAATATATTAATCTCAACATTTTCCATTCACTGATGGCATACTGACTCCATGGCCCATGCTCCATTTGCTGCTGGTGGTTTACCCCAGTCTCAGTCTCTACCCTTCCCTTGCCCCCTAACTGACCTGTCAGCCCCTGCCCCACTGACTTATCTGTCCTCCAGCCGCCTCGCTGCACCTGGCTGGTCACCAGGAGGAGGCCCGCTGCCGGTACGAAGCAGTGCCCGGCCGGCTGGCAGCTGTCTATGGCGGCCTCATCAGCCTGCTGAGGGCCGGCCGTGCGCTGCCACCGGCCCGCCGCCGCGCCGACATCCTCACAGACGCCCTCCGACGCTACAGGTTGGTCAGAGAGCAGATTGATATCTGTGGCAGAGCTAGTCAGTGAAAGGGACTCGCCTATCGTGACTCGATAATATGGTGTGATTGTCTGTTGTCATGTGTACTTGACATCAAGGCATCCAATTTTGTCGGTCGTAACACCTATGCTCCTGCTTTTCTCTCAGAGTACCAGACAGTTGGCACTCAGCGCTGGTGGCGGCGATGTGTGCCTCTCCTGAGCCGCCGCCAACGGCCGGCCCCGTCCAGTGGACTCTGGATGTAATCATCTCAGACAGGTCAGCGAACGGGGCAAGGTGGTGGAGGGTATGGGGGCGGGGGGGGGGGGGGGGGCTCACTTTTGAATGCTCTGTTGGGTAGTGTGTGCAGTAGACAGTCTGAAGTCCTTTGCGGCAGTGGAAGTGCCTACGAAGCGTTTTCTTTAAATCACTGGTTTTAGTTGCATGCTGTTGCTTATATCTAGCTAGTGCCTACTGCTTGTATTTCGGTATGCTTAGTCGCCTTACGTTACATTCATTGGATGACCTCTCTGGAAATATTGCTCCTCGACCTCGACACTATAAATTTGTTTGGCTGTTCGGCCGTCATTGTTTCCGTATTTAGTTGTAGTGAGCTCCGTTTGGTGATGTTCGTTTTCTAGCTCGACGGTGGCGGCTGTGGCTTTCCGCCCATAGTTGTCTTTAATCACTAAGAAAATGCACGGCGTCTGAGCATTCGTAACTACCGTTCTGAAGGTGGAATATGGGCTTTGTTCGTCGGAGCTGAGCAACTAGATAATATGGTGGAGGCATTTCCGTTTACAAACATTTTCGTGTCTAGTATGTTTACCAATGTATCAATGCTGCCGCAGTCCTTATTTCATCATCTAAGCTCAGATGGCGTTTCTTTTACCAAATGTGCAGAAGCCCTCTGGAAATTTTGCGTTGATACCGGATGGGACGTTTAGTGTTGCCTATCCATATATCGTATAGTTATTATTTAACCCAGTTTATGTAAAAAAGTCCAGCAATATGCGTGCTCCTTGAGCCATTTTCATACCGACAGAATTATTTAGCTCTCATGAAAAACGTTATGTTAAAACAAAGCTAAGTCGAACACTTCCCATGCTGATGAAAGGCTTACGCGAAGGGGCACGCGTAACGCTTATGGGTGTTATACATCTGCTTAATCTTTTTTATCTCACTGATAGGCCGCTTTTCATCCATTGTTTTCTCAGTCGATGACATACCTTTCAGTGAGCGAGGACAAGTTTTGGAACCATCTGTGGGGCTGACTATACCGAACGCTGCTGGTGGCGGCACCTCTCTGCAACTACCGAAAGCTCAGTTTCTGCGACTTCGCCGTGAGATGGCAGTGGCGCGCCGTGAGGTGGACAACGTCCAGGCCAAATTCGCATCTCGGGTTAGCTGATAAAGTGGATGATTTTTGGTGACTTGCTTTCCCTCGAAATGCAAGAAAACATATGCACCACGAGGACTGGGTTTCGACCAAGGTGCCTTATCAGTTATCACCCTTGCATAACTGAATGATGACTGGTACAGGATTGCCTGCGCCAATGTGTTGTAACTTATATCATAGCTGTAGTGGAGAGAATTTCGTGTACTGTATGAACTGATGTGCAATTTATTCGTGTACTGCGTGCCTTGAGCGGGCACCCTCGCGTAATCACATAATATTGCGATCGTATCTCGCGAATGTGATGCTTTCTGTGTCCACTTTGTATCATTCCATTGCTGTATGAACGATTAGTGCGTTCCTATAATTGCCTCTTCCATCATTTTGGTATTATCTTATTTACCCAGTCGAATTGCTTCTAGTTGTAACTCTTCTTTCTTGCAACGAGGTTTCGAAACGTCCGGATTTAAAGTGCCCACCCGTTGGCCCGTTACTTTTGTATCACCAGGAAATTAAGAAGTTTTATCGCGATCGAAACTACAGTACATTCGACCAGTTGGAGCCATATGGTCAGTAGCTATATAGTATATTTGCAAATTTCGTTACTTCAAAATTTTCCTTGTTTTTGTCGATAGGATCAATGTGATATACCTACTCCATGTTTGATCTATTATTTCCGTATAAATAAAATATAATGTTTGCTGTAACATTGGTCAGTGTCATTTTAACGACATCCTTCTTCAACGACACTTGGGATGTATTTATAGATATTTTCTCGACATCTTGTTAGCGCTCTTCCCAGACCCAGAACACTGAAAAGATCTTTATGAGGTACAAGCCGAGGTGTACCAGTGTTCTACCGGTATGCGTAATGTTATTTATGCGATAAATAGCGCAGAACCCATGTCGGGAGTCATGTGTGAAAAACGCTAAGAAAGGTTACTTTGTGTTCCGCATAGGCATTTAATGGGACTGTTCAGGTTCATATTACTCAAATAAAATATTTCAATGTGTGAGCTTCTCACATTTATCTCACAGTGAGAACTGCAGTAAAATTATCTCCGTGGTCCCTGTAGAACAAAACGGATGTTAGAAGGAATGATCCTGTAACTTTCAGGTCATCATGCTCATTGCACAATGCGCACGTCTGGTTTGCTCCATTTTCCATACAGTGCATCGGGGTTATAAAGGGTCTCTTTTGCGAAAACGTGAAGGTTATGTAGACTAAAGGCCTCTATATCTAAGCGCGTATTGAACCAGTCATAGCTTTCGGTGAACGTTTATTGAAAGTGAACTAAGCGTAGAAAATATGCGATGGTTGTCCATTTTTCGGACTGTGATGTGTGCTCTCAAAACGGTTAGTTACATAATTTGTATTCTACATATTAATAGCCTGTACCTACAACAGTTGCTAAATAAATAGAGGACTAGAATATCACAGAGTGCGAGCGGTTTAGAAAACCGGCAGATACAAGAGTCCGATGATGAATAAAAAACACGACATGTGCAGACAAGACAATTCTACTGTTCCGCAAACTTCCATTAACTCCGAGAGTGTGCTTAGAGTTCAGAAACTCCTTATTTTCCACGATAGTATCGGTTATTGGCGTCAGGCATACTGGGGCATCACGATCTCGGTGGCTGGCGAGATGGTGGCCATCCCCTCGCCGTCTCCGCCCGCGGTAGGCCTCTTCTTCCGTCGTCGGCGACGGCGCAGACAGCAGGTTCCGGTGCCGTCCTCGTCCCCTCCGACCCGACAGCGGCGGCGTCTCCGACGGCGCTTCACATCCCGTCCGCCGTCAGCCTCTCCGTCTCCGTCTTCGCCCATCTCTCCGTCTCCGTCCATCTCACCGTCTCCGTCTTCGTCCTCCTCTCTGTCTCCGTCTTCGTCTTCATCTCCTACGTCTCCGTCCATGTCCTCGTCTCCGTCTTCGGTGTCCATCTCAGCTCCGACTACCAGGGTGGCGTCAGGGTCGGTCTGTGCCGCCTGTCCTCCCATGGAGCCGTCACCCCCATCGGATTGTGATGGCGTCAGGTCGCTCCCTGAAGCAGCCTCGCCTCTCTGGCTGCTGGAGTTTTCACCACCAGGAGCAGGGCCGTCCCCGTCTCTGCCTGTAGTGCTTCCCGCGCTTCCCCCGCCTGTAGCGCCAGCTCCGCCGCCTCCTCCTGTATTTTCAGAGGTGGCGAGCGATTCCTGTGCCGCCTCTGTGGGCAGCGGGAGTGGCTGCTCGGCTGTGGCAGACGCCTGCGTAGTGGCAGCGGTAGTTGTAGTGGTAGTTGTAGTGGTAGTGGTAGTGGTAGAAGTCTTGGCAGCGTTCTGTTTTTTACTCAGTTTGATGAGATCTGTGATGGATAACGGCTGGGGCTGTGGGCAGAAAGAAATGGATCAACTGGGGCGTCTAACAATTAGCCTGTGTATGTAGATCAGCGACTATCACGATACCATTTTTGCAGCGATCACAAATAAGTTGGCTGCCGTTCCGGAAGAGGAGCGCCGATGTACCCTCCATTTTCAATTACAGTAATTGGTGTGACTGAGTACCTACTCTATTTTCATGCGCAGATGCGCCCTTTAGTCCATCTCAGTTTAGCTATAGGTCAATAGGGTAGCCTGGGGCAAGACGCCCCAGATAATTTATTTTGCTACATAAATTTTGTCCCACATCACCTGGAAGGCCAAATCAGTGCTCAATGCGTTCTTTGGACATTTTACTTTAAATTGCACCCCTCAAATTCATTCACTTATGATCGGACTCCAAGCTAGGAAGTGATTTGTGAAGCAACTGCAAATGGGGCATTTTGCCCCAACCCCAGGGCAAAACGCCCCACGGCCTGGGGCAAGTAGCCCCATACTTTAGATTAAAGATTTAACATGGTAGTTGGCTAAATCTTATGTGAGAGGTCCGTTAGACCTCTGGAGGCACGGCACTGAAGTTAGCACATTCCATCCTGTCAGGTGTTCAGCTCTGACACTATTATATGAGCAGGTTTTTCACCTACCTCATAAGACCAAATAATAAATTATTGCAATGCGAATGTTAACAAAATACTTCCTTTGCCATCCAGTTGCTGAGAAAAATACACATAAAGGCATAGAAACTTACTGTTCGCCAGCTACCGAACATTAGAAAGTGGGTAGCCCGAACAATACATGAGGTAAAACGCCCCAGGGGCTTTTTGCCCCGCGACCTACTGGGGCGTTTTACCCCATCACGTAGTTCGGTCAGAGAACAACGCCTTGCACTCCAGCAAGACATAATTTAACACGAACCAACCCGGCATGATAAGCGTTAGACAATAGTTGTTCAAAATACATAAATGTCGTTAACCTGATGTGGACCATAAAAGAACGCCATGATACATAATCTGACAACAAAACATAAAAATCACTCCAAAAACACATTTTTGGCTATATCTCCCGAAAGAGTCATCACAATTTCTTTCCAGTCTGCTCATACAATGATCATATAGTGCACGTTTTATAGAAGAGATGATGTTTCCCCAGAACTCTGCCAGCTCCGAAAAACATCGGTGAGGCGTTTTACCTCGGCGGGGCGACTTGCCCCGGTCTACCCTAATAATCAGGCCGATAGACATTGATGGCAAAGAGCGAGATTGTGGGACACGACAGAGATAGAGTTAATTCGATATCAGTTGCTTTCGGGTTCGGCGAATGATGCATTTAATTTCTGTGCCATTTATAGTTACCAGACCATGGTCGCAATCTGTGGTTCTGTCGACGTTAAAAATTAACAAAAAAGCTTTGTTACTTGTTAGACAAAATTTTCAGATGATATAACTTTTTGAATCATGCGAAAGCAAAAGATGAACAGAAATCATGTAACTATTCCTTATCCGCGGCCTGGGCCACATAACCCCTGTTCTGCTGAAACCCTTTCGGCTTCACCGACTCACCGCGCTGGTGACGGGTCTGGCGACGAGCGCGATGGTGCCGAGCACCACCAGAGCCAGACACAACCTCATGGTGCTGGTGTCGAGCGAACACTGCGGCCGCTGACAGCCGTGACTGAACGACCAGCCCTCTCGCTTCCCACCCAGTCCCCCGCCGCCCTCTGCCATGAACACCCCGCCACCCCAACTGCCCCACACCATCGAAACCCCGGGGGCCCGGAGGTCGTCATCGTGCATGTCTGGCTACCGGCGGCAGGTGGTCGCGGTGACGGTCACTGGCGGAAGCTGGATATCGGGGATGGGAGAAGGGAGAGATGGTGAGCTGGTCAGGCTTCGACGCCTCCTCCGCCCTGTATCCAAAAACACATAGGTCATGGGTCCAATGCAACTAAGCAGGCGGCTGGAATCTTAGTGAAGAACAAAATCGGACACTTATTTGGGTGCTGGTCTTTGGTCATATATTGTATTTACAAAACGTTTGATCGATTATGAGCTAAAACCGGAACCGGAATCGGACAGACGGCTGGCGTTTTTCCCGCGAGGTCGCGCCGTTACTGCATAGTGGCGCGTCCGCTCCATAATGTGTCAGCGTGCCCTGGGGCGATGAAATGGTCAGCCCGAAACGGTGGTCTGGCGTCATCTGAGGTCATTTCCGTGGTCAATGATTCACGGTTTGCGATTGTTCAATATGATGTGACAGTCCCACACAGCCGTATTGGTTGTGCTTTTGGTTCTGATAGGGTAGAGGTCATGGGCGCGAAAGATGCACTCTGCACAGCGCACAACGTAAAACCGCAGACGAGCGTTGTTAATCGGATAGGCAAGCAATGTGGCAGGCATGTGCTCTAAATAAAAGTAATGGTGTTGATACTTACATTATATAAATCGAAACGTTCAGAAGTGAGGCTTCTCAGGGCGAACATTCAGCTTGCGCTCATAGGTGTGCGAGCCTTGGCATTCATCTATGACTTTTGCAAGCATGAAAAAAAACGCTTACGATGCTGATTGCTGACATGATAGCGGAGACTGGAAAGCTGTATTTTCCGGTGAAACTGGATACCATTATTACCGTTCTGCGTTGTCACTGCAACTAAAAGGTGCCAACAGTGTTGCTCTCGATAATCGTTTCGTGGTTCGACCGTCGTTAGTGATCGTTAAACGCAGTCGTTGTCTGCTGATGGCCAGAGGAAATCCCCGTCATCAGGAAGTCACGCGGACGCTATGTCCCAGTGGCACGCGAGTCGCGCGCGTGGTGCCCGTACTGGCACCAGCGCCAGTTCGATTGTGGTTTAGCGTGTACCGCGGATGCACCCCGCCCTGTGTTAGGGCAACGGGAACAAAACTTCGTAGTTGTTACGAACTAGCGAGTGGCGACTCTGTATAAATGCGAGGCCAAACATACTGTATTCTCTCCTTCTCTCAAAATGCGACATATTCGGTTGTGCCGTGTTCCTTATAGCATGCTATGAGATGCATCTTTTCATGGTCTCGAAGCTGTAGGTAGGCTTCATTCCGGAAACTTGTAAACTTCGCTTCTTGCGCTGCGCTGATGCGCTGATGATGTGCGCTGATGACCACTGTAGTCCGGGTGCCCAAAAACCCCTATTCATCATCATCATAGCCTTAAAGCCCACATAAAACTTTGCTTTCACGTTTGGCACAAATTGACCGTCGTTTATTAGCAAACTCAATACAGACACGTTTATGAAATGCGCACAATGTTACTGCGGTCAATACATCAATGGACAGTTTTGATTTCATTCACTCTTGCAGGCAGCCACATAACAACAGAACAAACAACATCTCGCTCAGTCATACAACCGGAGGTGATAAAATATCAAAAATGCCACAAACCTCAAAGCTGTCGAGTTCAAAGCCACAAATATCAACGAATATCTTTCGCACCGCTCGACAACTTTTCGAATGTTCGTAGCAAAGCTTCACCATCATTCGGCGGTGGTAAAATGGTGCGTAACGTTTGGCATATGTGACCGCGGCGGGTCACACACTGGTCACACAGGTCACTGACGGGTCACGCCGGTCACACACGGTCGTGACCAGCCATTATACCCTATATCACATGAAGACACGAGCGGTGCCGAGCGGGGCGGCAGACGCGTCACTGCCGCGCGGCCGCTGTCGCCACGGCCCACCGCGCGCGATGGCATGGGCGATGAACACTACACGCGCTCGGAGAGTTGTGCCTAGAGGCGCAGTTCGCTCTCTGAGCTGGACGAGGCGCCGGCGAGCAGATGCGGCCGCCGGTGCGCCGCCGATGGGGGCACGTGCGCTACGTGACGCGACAGCGACGGTGACCGGGTGGCCAGCGGGCTGAGCGCCGGCGAGAAGGACGGCGACATGGCCGGCGCCGCGAACACGTCGTGCGCGATCGGCGAGCGCGCCAGCGACGGCGGAGCGCCCGGGCCGAGACCGGAGCGCGGCACCACGGGCGCCGCCACCGAGCGCGGCGCTACGTTGGTGAGCAGCGGCGGCGGCTTGGCCGCGCTCACCGCGTACGGACTGGGCGCGCTGTCGTCTTTGAGCCGCGCGATCTCGGAGAAGACGTGCGCCAGCGGCTGGTACTGCGGCCCCCAGTTAAGCAGGTAGTCCCAGTTGTAGCTGCCCGTCAGCTCCTCCTCGCTGTGCACGATCGAGCTCAGCGAGCCAGTCATCGACGGCTGCGTCTCGTCCAGGCCGAACGCGCGCGTGCCGTCCATGATGGCCTCGTTCTCCTCTGCCCCCACCGCGGTCAGTTTGGAGGACAGCAGCTCACCGAGCCGCGCGGCGCCGTCCGCAGACCCGCCGCCGTCCAGCACGTGCGCACTGTCGGCGCGCGCGCTCTGCGAGTGCGAGTCATCGCGGGACGTGTCGATACCCAACCTGGCCAGATACTCCTGCGTGTTGTGCGCCGACATCTCCGATAGAGAGTCCTCGTCGGGCACGGCCAGCTGGCGCAGCTTCTGCTGCATCAGCGGCCCCTCGTTGATCATCCGTATCTCCTCGTCCTCATCACCGTCCTCCGCCGAGCCGCGCCCGGAGGAGGCCGACCGGTGCGACTGCTCAGAGAGCTCAGAGTGCGTGTTACGGCCGGCCGGGCGCGGCTCGGCCGTCGCGCCGCCGCCGCCGCCGTACGGGTGCACGATCTCACTGTACCGCGGCGGGAACTGGAGACCGGCCGCCGGCCCGGCTCGCACCTCCGTGTCGAACGACGTGTCGAACTGGTCGGCCATCGTTGGCTTCCCTACGCGTCGGTTACGCATGTGTAGGAACACAAACGCGGCGCCGAACGCCATCACGATGAGGATGATGGCCACCAGTAGACCCACACCCCAAGAGGCGAGCCCGCCGCCGGCGGCGGCCGGCAGACCGGTCCCGTTCAGCGATGGGTCCAGCACCACCTCGACGCCAGTCAGCGCACTTAGACTTCCCGGCCGGCCGCTAGAGGCCACTATCTCGAGCCGCTCGCTGGTGGTGGCCGGCGGCTCGGCCTCGCGTCGCGCCCTCCTCCGCTCGCCCAGACTGCGCGTCACCACGATCTCACCACTGGTCCGGTTCACGCGGAAGAACTGGTGCGGCTCTCGCAGTCGGTACACCACCTGTCCGTCGGCGCCGCGGTCGCGGTCGGTGGCCACCACCCGACCCACCACGTACCCGGGCGGGCCGTCGGCAGGCGTGCGGAACTGGTACTGCTTCTCGGTGAACTCAGGGGCGAACTCATCCACTCCCCGCACCGCCACTCGCACAGTCGCCGTGGCAGTCCTTCCGCCGGGGTCTGCCGCGCTGATGGTGAACGTGTACAACTCCCTCTGCTCGTAGTCGAACACCGCGGCCGTGGTGACCTGCCCGGTGAGCGCGTCCACCTGGAACCGGTCTCCGCCATCCGTCAGGGTGTAGTTTAGCCGCCCGAAGCGGCCGCGATCGGCGTCGTTAGCGTGCGCCGTGAACACCAGCTGGCCGGCCGGCGCGTTCTCCACAGCGAACGCGTGGTACACGGGCTGCGGGAAGCGCGGCGCGTTGTCGTTCTCGTCGCTGACGCGGATGTGGACGGCGGCTAGCGCTGAGAGCGGCCGGGCGGGGTCGCGGTCCGTGGCGCGCACCACCAGACGGTACTCTGAGAGCCGGTCGAAGTCGAGCCGCTGTCGCAGGCGCACCACGCCCGTGTCTCCGTCAAGGGCGAACGCCTGCTGCTCGTTGCCGGAGGTAATGTCGTACACGACGGCAGAGTTCTCGCCGGCGTCCCGGTCGGTGGCGAACACGCGGAGCACCTCGGCGCCCACCTGTGCAGGGGAGGGGGAGGGCGTCAGCGGGGACAAGCTAGGGAAAGGTCATGTAAATACTAAGCCTCCTGGATTTTCCAAAGACGATTACGTTCACAAATTTGGTAATCGTAAAGGGGTTTGAGAAGTCATGAAATAAGTCCAGTTGTGGTAGGCGTCTAAATAAACCACTTTCTCAAGGTACGTGGTCGAAGTAGAATTTTATCAGTTGCTCTAAAATGAAAGAAACTGCATTCCGTCACCAAATGCCTGTCTCTATGCATCTCCTGCCGACTCTCCCGTTATCGCCTTCTCACCTGGGTCTGTTCGCTGATGACTGCCGTGTACTCGGTCTGGTTGAACTGCGGCTGGTGGTCGTTGACGTCCGTCACGTCGATGACAATCTGCGCCGTGGTGTTGCGCGCCGGCGTGCCCCGGTCGCTGGCAGCCGCGTCCAGCACGTAGCGCGCGCGCTGCTCACGGTCCAGCGGACGCACCAGCAGCAGCTCGCCAGTGGTACTGCAAGACAGAGAGGAACGGAAGTGAGTGATGGCGGAGCTCATCCACTTCCGGTGCGGTGAAGCAGGGTTGCTTGCTGTTTGGGGGTCTTTCCTGTCTCGGAGCATATGTAGACGAGAACAACTATGAGGGCCATTGTGCTATATTCCGCTACATTTGATAAACATCTATTTGCTCACTTTAACCGCACGGTGATTGAAGCCTTCGGTAAATATCTATCCTGTAGCCAATGGATGTCGAACTCTACCATGGCCAATCAATTCTCTCAGCACTATGTCGCCGGGTGATGCTCCTATGTCCCCCACAGACACTGACCTGGCGATCTGGAACATGCCGTCCTCGTTGCCGCTGACCAGGCTGTAGTCGATGTTACGGTTGTTGCGCGTCTCGTCCACGTCCTCGGCGCTGACCTGCAGGATAACCTTACCCAGTGCTGTGTCCTCGCTGACACGGGCCCTGCGGGCGGGAGGGGGAGAAAGCATTGGTTACCATTCGATGAAAATAAGATAAAACGAGCCCAGGCATGTAGTTTGAGGACAAAATGTCATGCTTTCACGCTAGCAGCAGCTGCGCCATGTGCCTACTACTACCAATAAAAATATCAAACTTATTTGCTATACTGAGACAAACCAATCCATCGTTCTGCCGGCCACAAAGCCCTCCACCCGCACTCACTTGTAGACGGACTTCTCGAACTCTGGCGCGTGGTTGTTGATGTCCTGCACTCGGAGTCGGACCGCGGCGGCGGCTGTTCGCGACGGGCGGCCTCCGTCGCTCGCCACTACCACCAACTGCCTATCCGGTCGACCGGGCTCGAAACGGACTGTGCTGTTGGTGAGCAGTACGCCGGTGTTGGGTTCCACGGCGAACTCTCCCGTCTCGGAGTCGTCGAGTAGGGAGTAGGTGATGCGCGCGTTCTCGCCCAGGTCCCGGTCAGAGGCCGAAACCCGCAGCACCTGGAAATGGGAAGGGGAGTTAATAAATTAGCCACTCAGTGATTGTTCGTTCCGTGACAGGTGGGAGAAGGGACAATTTGAGGCATGGCTTAAAAGTGACTGATATCGATGGCTAACTATTTTTACGGAAGTGTTGACATTCCATTGAGACCATCATTGCCTCTGTGCCACACGCTACACTGAGGTTTTCCTATGAAACATCGTCCTCTCGTCATCGCTCATCAGTCTTCCACCGCAATCCCCGCCATCCGTCATCGTTTTCCACAATATAATCCAATTTTTATCGCCGACCACTGACCGCAGGTGGTCGTACCCACCTCGACTCCGGGCCCGCTCATCTCAAGCAGACCGCCCGTGTAGGAGCTCTGACTGAACACAGGAGGCTCGTCGTTGACGTCCAGCACGTTGATGGTGACGTTGGTCTCGGCCTGGTGCGCTGCGTCCGACGCCGACACGCGCAGCACGTACTGGTCCCGAGTCTGGGGAAGGGCGGGAATACGATAATGCGGGATCCGAAGGCATGCTTCATTTATGAGAGGAAGTGGTGATGGAATTTACTGAAGCTTGAAAGTATTAGATTGAATTCCAATGCGGCATACATTACGTATGTACTATGTACCCTTTACATTATCCTGCTTGAAACTTAATTTTTATATCTCGCCAGAAGTGTAAGGCATCGAACATTCGAGCACCCCTTACCTCGCGGTCGAGCCGCTCCACCAGCACGATCCGGCCGGTGAAGCGGTCGATGGCGAACGCCTCCTGGCGCGCTGCGCCGCCGGCGAAGCTGTACGTCAGCGCCGGGCTGGTGTCGACGTCGTTGGCGGTGACGGTGGTGACCAGCTGGCCGACCTGGGCGCCCTCGCTGACGCTCACCACAGAGGTGGGAGGGAACGTAGGCCGGTTGTCGTTGATGTCGATGACGCGGATGTGGAGCGCGCAGCGTCCGACCAGCGCCGGACGGCCCCGGTCCGTAGCCGTGATGGTGAGGTCGTACGAGGCGCGGATCTCTCGGTCCAGCACGATGTTGGTGCGCACCACACCCGACGAGCGCGACTCGATCACGAACGCGTTGTCCAGGTTTCCTTCGACGATGCTGTAGACGACGTCAGCGTTGGCTCCCGTGTCGGCGTCCGTGGCAGAGACCTGGCGGGGAGACGGAGCAGTGTTGGTGAGAACGGAGCGTTCACTCACATTACTTCAACAAACGGTATCGTATCGGATCAAGGAATTTTAAATCATTTAGAGGAGGCCTTCTGTTGGGCATGAGAGAATCGTTGACTCAAACCCAATCCTTCACGTCAAGGCAGTTTGAAGGCAAGTTTTATACTTCTATTCTTTTCCGGCGTCAAGGCAAGGCGGACAAGAGCTCAGCTTTTCTGAGCTGCTGATCCTCAACTCCTCTCACCTGTACGACGAAGGTGCCCTTGCTGTTGCCCTCCCAGACGGCGCTGCTGTACTCGTCCTGGGTGAAGCGCGGCTGGTTGTCGTTACGGTCTTCCAGGTCCACGAACACAGTGGTGTACCTGGAGATAGACGTAGCGACGTCACGGATGAGTAATGCCATATCACCCCTTCCAGTGCCGTATTACTTTTGGCATACTCATGACAATCTGTATAGCCTGCAGCTCTCCTTCTAATTCAGGACACTCACCCGTAGAGCGGCGTGGTGCCCTCGGCCTGGGACACCACCACCAGCCGGCGGCGGCGTGTCTGCTCAAAGTCCAGGCTCCGCGGGTCGCGCACCCGGATCAGGCCATTGTTGGCCGTGATCTCGAACGTGCCGTCCTCGTTGCCGGAGCCGAAACTGTAGGTGATCCGCTGGCGCCGGCCGTCACTGCGCACCGCCGTCACCTGCCGGGGAGAGAGGAGAGTGGTGAGATGGTGAGATCGGGCTTCCGATGAGGGAGGCTTCGTTTCCATCAGCTGTTCCTGACATTGTATGGATTTGCTTCTGTTTTGCGAACCAAACAGATAACTCTGTAGCCCAGACTTTAGTTTGCAGTTATCGAACGCAAGCATATCCATGGATCACCTCTAAATAATTTAGGATTATTATCCATAACTTGAGGAGTGGAAGTGAAAGAGCTTCCAGTTCCCGCTGTAAGCAGAGCATTAGAAGTCAATAAGCATCTATATCCGCTGCAGCTCCTGGCTGCTCTGGAGACGTCACGCACCTGTATGACGTCGCTGCCGGTCTGGGCGTTCTCGGGGATGCGCGCCGTGTAGGTGTCGTTCTGGAACTGAAGCGTGGTCTGGTCGCGCTGCTGACCCACGATGATCTCCACCAGACCGACGGCCGACTGCGGCGGACTGCCGCGGTCCTTAGCCACAACCTGGAGGACAAAGAACGGTCAGAGGGCGCGTGGGATAGCATGGCAAGCAAGACAAGGCGCGCAGGGTCGACGGCTGGGCCTCATTGTCAGCCGTGCAGAAGATGGCCGGTAAATGGTGTTCTTGCTCACTGATGTTCTCACGAGTTGACTTAATGCGTCTACCAAACAACGGTCCAAAGCATCGTTTGCTAACGTCGCCAGTGTCGACGGGGATCTCACCTCCAAGTGGAAGACTCGTCCAGACTCCTTGCTGAGAGACCCGATGGCCTTCACCACCCCGGTCTCCGGGTGGATTCGGAACGCGCTGTTGGCAGGCTGGTTGGCGAAGCTGAAAACATTCGAGACTCTCTTCAGGCACGGAGTCTCAGGTAGTTTTGAATGCCGTATCGGCAGGATCGGGCTGAGTCATCGCTGAGTCATAAGTTTGCCAGCACATCACCGCCCACACGAACTCATCGGTATTTCAGACATCCGTGATCATTGATCAATAGCCATTCAACCCCAACTCTTATTGTGACTCTCAATAACCCGTCTTCCTCTTCTATTCCATGTGACTCCTTCATGACTGTTTAAGTGTCTAGATTCCACTTGTATCATCCTTCCAACCTCCCCTCTGCACTGGTAGCTCCAAACCCCTTTCTCACCTGTAAGTGACCTGTCCGTTCGCGCCGAGGTCATTATCGTCAGCGTGCACGGTGACGAGCTCGGTGCCCTGTTCCGTGTAGGCGGGCACCCTCGCCGTGAACGGGTAGCGTGTCAGCACCGGCGCGTGGTCGTTGGCGTCGTCGATGATGACGGTGACGGTGGCACGTGCCACGCGGGCGTCGTACTGACCGCCGTCAGTGGCCTGCACCTCGAACGTGTACCGGGAGCGGCGCTCGCGGTTGAACGAGCTGAGGAAGAACGGGGAGATGGTCAGGGGAGAGATGTCGTGTGCGGGAGACGAGCACGTTTGTCAAGCAGGTGGTGGATGGTAATGGCATAGCAACGCTCTGCTTGGCTGCGTATCATGAGCATGATTGCTTTCTTCAATGGCTGTGTAATTGAACAAGGAGTTGACCTGAATACCATTGTTATCAGTCATAATTACTGCTACCATAAATAGCACAGTTCCTTGTCAAGTCTTATCGTATTATGATTAATGTCCCCAGCCCATGCTCGTCAGGACACGACACGGCCACCTCATTTTTGAATTCCGCTGCCTAACTTCTGCTGACATCACCGTGTGTCTTTCTTTTAATTTCAACTCAGGGCCAAGCTTATCACCCTCTAATCCTTCGCTATCTTAGCATGCCTTCCCCGCGGCGGTAGGTGGGTATATTCCTCTCTCACCATTCTCCTATCCGCCTCTCTCCACCACACTGTATCTCAGGCCCTTTGGTCCCTCCGTCCGCATCGCACTCCACGTCTCTAATCCGCCATGTCCCCTGCCCCACCGCGCGACACTCACCCAGCGGTGGTGATGCGGCCGCTGAGGTTGTCGATCCGGAAGCGCCACTGTGTCTCGTTGCTCAGGCTGTAGGTGACCCGACCGTTGTCCCCGGCGTCATCGTCCGTGGCTGTGACGGTCACCACATCCGTGCCCAGAGGCGCGTCCTCGGGGATACGGACCTGCCGCGGAGGTCGAGGGAGCTTAGGGTTAATGTGGACTAAAGAAGACAGCTGAGAATGTCAGTAACTTACAGTGCTTACTGCTTACAGTGCGGTCACGGGTGGTTTAGTTTTTTTTTGGGGGGGGGGGGGGGCTGGTCTCAGGTTGACGCGTTTAAGTGTTACTGCAAATCAAATTTTCATAATGCAACTTGGTCCTGAAATCAAATGTTAGAGAAGGATATGCTACAAAAACTATTATGGATCGTATAGGCTCCCCTTCCCCAGCCCAACGCCCTCACTTCCCTTACACCGTTAACCCTCGCGGTCGGCTGACCTGGTAGCGGCGCTGCTGGAACACGGGGTCGTTGTCGTTCTCATCCAGCACGTGCACGGTCAGCGGACAGTTGAGGGGCGCGCGGCGGGCCGGCGAGCCACCATCCTGAACCGTGATCTCCAGTTGGTAGGCGTCGCGTGCCTCGCGGTCCAGCGGCCGGGCCGACAGCGCTCCGGTGCGCGCGTCGATAGAGAACTTGTTGCCGACGTTGCCGTCTGGTGAGGGAGACGGGGAGGGAGGTGGCAGTTAGAGTGGAGATCTAGGTGCGAGATTGGTGTTGTGTCCAGTGGCGGTAGCTGGTAGGAAAATGTACAACGCTAATCGGAAAGTCAAGCTTGAATGTTTTCAGGCTGCAAACTTGTAGCTGTAGAAGTTTGTTTCGTATAGAATTGAATGCATTTGATTGGGCGACAGCATCACATTCATCCTTTTCTCGGTCAAATTTAAATCAGCGGAAATGCTCTGCGTCTCTTTCTGAAGTTGATAATGTTGTGTAGGGCATTGGTTCTTAGGGTGAGCCTGCACAGACGCATACCCCAAACAGACACCTGTGATGCTAATGCCGATATTTCTGTCAGACTACCCACCTGTGATGCTGTAGGTGATTTGTCCGTTGCTGCCGATGTCGTCATCGACGGCCACTACGGCGTGGATCACGGCCAGCTCGCTGTTCTCCGGCACGCGCAGCGGGTAACACGCTCCCCTGGTGGTAGAAGGGACGGTACAGAGGGGTCAGACAGCCGGTGACATGACAGGGGTGTGGCCCTAATGGGGGTTCAATGTTGTTTGGATATTCATGCTGTGGTGACATTGAATAACGTGTGTTTTATTTGTGTACCTCAAGTGAGCATGTTTCCCTAAAAAGTTTATCCTGTGTTTGGTATTGAATGAAGACACAATAATTCAATTAACTGCACTAAAAATAAAAGTTAGGTAACATTCCTTACGATTGCAGATGCAATCATCAACCACTGCACTAGGTATTGCAAGGACTGCAAGGACGGTACATGCAATCGCACAACTCTTACGTAATTCCTTTGTTACGTTGGGATGAGCTCCTTTTGAGCTAGTCTGACAGCTACAAAATAACCCCCTGTAGCGATACGCCAACCGGATACAAGAGTTCTGACACTGAAGTTTTTGCTCAATCAAGACTTGAGCACGTGATTCGAAGTTTCAGCACCTAGAACTCTGATGTTTAGTTGAATGACTGAAACTTGGAGTTTAAACACTCACCTGAACTCGGGCGAGTGGTCGTTTTCGTCCAGTACATCAACGATGACTGTGGCTGCGTCGAAGCGGCTGGGCACGGCCCCGTCGTTGGCATAGACGGTCACCACGTGTCGGTCTGTGGTCTCACGGTCCAGCCTCCGTGCCGTCCTAACCTCGCCCGTTCGCGGGTCCACCTTGAACGCATCTCCGGCGACGCCAGCCGGGATCATGAACGTCGCCCCTCCGCCTTCACCGTCGTCCTCGCGATCGGCGGCGACGCGTGCCACCAGGGTTCCGACGGCGGCTCGCTCGCTGACGTTGGCGGAGAACAGCGGTCGGCTGAAGAGGCTGACGTGACGGCTGACGTGCTGCACGTCCACGCGGACGGCGGTCGTGGCGCGCTGCGGCGGCTGACCGTGGTCGGTGGCCGTGACGTTCAGACGATAGTGGCGCTCCGGGCGACCAGTCAAAGGACGCGCCAGAGACAGCAAACCTGGCGGAGGGGGAGGGGTGAGGTGATATCTTTGGCGCCAGAGACAGCAGACCTATTGGAGATGGGAAGGGTGAGTTGAGGGGCAGGGAAGAATGAGCCTAGGGATAGTTACGGGTGAACTAAGGACTGACGAGCCAGCGACAGTATGTCTGATGGAGATGGGGAGGGCGAGCTCTGGGGCATCGGCGTCTCAAGTCGGACGGAAAAGTGTGCGTCTGTTGTGTCGTGATGTGATTTGACACAAAACGAGACACGGAAGACACCGTCTGCGTGTTCAAGTGCGGAGTTTTGAACTTCTCGGAAATGCCCACAGGGAAGTGTGGTAGACCGACATTGCAGTTCGTCTTTCCGTGCAGACCACTTTTTCAAGGTCTCTTGTCTGGTTTTTCTGATAAGTGCTCGGGAGAAATCATGGTCACCGATAATCTGTCTTGTTTGACGGACACTGACGCAGTGCGGTTCACCAACTACCCCCAGATGCAACCGCATGAGAAATTAAGAAATAAACAGCTATGTTCCTCAGTCGATATGGATGTCGAACATTGAAGATCAATTTTGGCTCGGCTCGCTACTGGACAGAAAAAGTATAATCTTCCAAAGGATTAATGAGCTTACCAGACCACATCTCCGCATCTGCAAAGCCACTCATTGAAAAATGATAATAACATCAACAACAGACCGCGGCAGGCCCCGGCTCGTCGATCGCTGCAGGTACCGAGGACGACACTCATTATCAGCCCTGAAAACGTCACCGATACCATCTACAACGCCGCAACATCATCATATCGACTTATGGCAGCGTGCGCTCCCAACAACCCCATCGTTCACTTCGCGTGGGGCGCGCTTCTGCTCCCGAACACCCACCTGTCTCCTCGTCGAGGCTGAACACGTCCTCGCCGTCGCCGTCGGTCAGGGTGTAGGTAACGCGGCCGTTGTCTCGCGAGTCTCCGTCGATGGCGATCACGTGCAGCACCGGGTAACCGACCGGCTCGTCTTCGTGGACCGTGACGCCACCGCCTCCAGCGCGCACGAACACGGGTGCATGGTCGTTGACGTCCTGCACGATGATCTGCGCCGTGAGCGAGGTGCTGAGACGGCTGCGCACCGGCTCCGCCTGGTCCGTGGCTGTGACGATCACCGTGTACTCGGCGTGAACCTCGTAGTCGATGGCCTCGCGCAGGGTGAGGGCCCCTGAGTACTGGTCGATGGCGAACGCCGGCCGCGGCGACTGCTGGCTGATGCTGTACCTGTAGGGGCGAGGGAGTAAGGGAGAGTTAGCCGGCATACGTTATACAATGGTTAGGTTTATGGTTCTAAGAAGTGGGCTATGTCACCACTCACCTGATGTCTCTTTGAAGAGAAGTGATTAGCTAGAAAGCTGTACCTAAGCTTTAGCATGCCAAGGCCTCTTTGAATGAAATTTTGTAAAAAGAAGAAGAATTGATTTACATTTGTGCTACATAGTTCGCTATCGATGCTTGTCCGAAGTCCCAGTCAGATCAGGTCCGGTTCAATGTTTCGCCGTGCTGCGTTCCAAATGCGATGTTCGTGCCAAGTGGAAGCAATAAATATTCAAATGTGCGGTCAAACCTGAATCGCAGCTTCTGAGCACAGACTGTCGATTACGTGAAATCAATACTGTGTGTATGTATGTACATTCTCTGCAGGAAACCTGTTCTAAAGCTTTTAGCGGCACGTGCGCCTTTCAAATGGCGATCACGCCTGCTGATCATCGCTGGCATAGCAAAACAGTGAGGCGGCTGCCGCGACTGGCAGCCTCTGCGATTTCGGCGTGACCACCATTCCGACAAACAGCGCTTCTGCAGCGGCCGAGGGAGAGGCTGCAGCCACAGGCCAGTCGCGGCCGACCCCGCGCCTATGCAAAGTGTCCGTCTCCGGGGCCGGTGGGCGTCCGGCGGCGGCGGCGGCGGGAGCGGTGACTTCACGCGGCGGCTGCAGGCCGCGCTGCCGCGACAGATCGGAGCTCTCGGCCATCGACAGGCGCCAGCTTATCCCCGCTCGCCGGCCGCCCGCACTCGACTGATGAATCGACGCGACAAACAATGCCCGCGCACGCCGGCATTTGCATAGCGCCGCCGCCCGTCTCCGGTCCTGCACACGACAGGCGCGCCGCCGCAGCCGGAGATGCCGGAGATCGGCCGGTTTACGGAACAAACCGCTTGGGCGAACGTGATCGGCTGCGATGTGGCAGCTGGATGCGCTTTGTTGTGCCGCGCATGGCATCAAAGCTTCCGCTGTCCGGCTGCGCTGGTTCGTATTCAATGGTAATGCTGTTTCGGCCTTATTTATCATAGTCGGCGGTCGTGCATGATGTACAAGCGATGTGCCTTGCTAACACGGCGCGTTTACATGCCGACCGGTCGACTGAGGTGGGGTCTGCCGCTGCCAGTGACGCGGGCCAGCGGTAGGTCGGACCTCTGGCCGGCTCTGGTCTGCCTCGGACTACCCCACAGAGACCGCTGGTACGGCCCCAGCAGGCGCCTTCATTAAGCACCCTGAGACCTTGTTTGACCGGCTCAGCCCTGTGCAGGCCGGACCGCGAGCCTGCCTAATGAGGGTGTCTCTCTGGCCCTGGTCACCTGGCAGCATACCTGTGTCTAACCGCTGAACCCGCTAGGCCTAGGGTATTGGCGGGCTCCTAATCCTGCTCGTCGGAGAACTGTGATTAGCATGTCCTCAGTGACCCTTGACCTCATTAGTTAGGTCCACATGTTTCTCTGCTTCATACCTTGTTTATTCCTCTTCCACATCTTTTATGTCATCTTTTCGTAGCAAACCCTCTCTGCGCAGATAATCAGTCCAAGCGACTCGGAGAAAACGTGCAGGAGGAGCTGTGGAGGATGAGATCCTTCAGCTTCCTTCTTTCCCTACAGCCCCTCTAACTTCCTCCAGTCCCCGTCCAGCCCCTGCGACCCTCTCCACCCCATCCCATTCCCCTCGCGGCGCCCACCTGACGGTGCCGGCCGCTCCGCTGTCGGCGTCGGACGCGGAGAAGTTCCAGACGGCCGTGCCGGGCGCCGTGTCCTCGGCCACCGAGAAGAGCACCAGCTCGTCGCCGAACGCCGGGGCGTTGTCGTTCACGTCGCGCACGCCGATCGTGACGGTGATCTCGCCGTTCTGCGGGTTGGTGGCGCTGGCGTCGGCAGCGGCGATCGTCAGCTGGTACTCCGAGGCCATCTCGTAATCCACCTGAGGGGAGAAAGGGGAGTGGGAGGGTAGAGCGGTGACGTTGACCGAACTGTGTTTCTCAATGATGTGGATACGGGACATTATGCATCTCTCCAGCGTCGTTCATTCGTTGATACGACCGTTTCCTTCGTTCCCACCCTTAACATCCTGCACCTGCTCTGCCTTGGTCCTCACCTCTCGGCTGGTGAAGAGCGCGCCCGTCGACCGGTCGATGTCGAACGTGTCGTTGAGGTTGCCGCTGAGGATGGTGTAGGAGACGCGGCCGTTCTCGCCGGCGTCCCGGTCGATGGCTTCCACGGTCCCCACCTGGCGACAGCGATAGAGGTTCAGGGGTCTGTTGCCTATCATTTGGCCCCTCAATAGCATCCTCAATCCTCATTGTCCCGCTTTCTTCTGCGACATTAAGGGCAACGTCACCTACATCCCAAAGTTCTATGTCATTAGCCCCACATCATCAACCCCCAAGTCATCCGCAGCCGCCATACCACCCGCCTCAACGCATTGCCTATCCCAAGTCATTAAACCTTCACATCACCCTGTCACCACGTCAGCAACTTCCACAGCAGTCCCTCCCACCACGCCAGCTATGCTCGGTCTCCCTCCCCGCTAATCGGCGGGCCACCCGGCTCCGAACGGCGCTCGGTCGCGTTACAATCACATTACGATCAGCATGACGTCACTGTCAGTGATCCGATGTTATCTCGGCCAAAGTCGCCGGCTCAAAACGTCAACGCATGCGGCGCCTGTGACGCCGAGCGGATTTGCAGACGCCTTCGACGCCTGGTGGGAGAGCTTTCGCTGGACGTTGTTGCCAACTCGGTATAGTTAGTCGGGACCTTCGCCAGTCCTTACAAAGGGCAGAACCCGGATTACCGACTGGGCTGAGGCCTTTCTTTCTTTCTCATGCACTCGTCGCCTATAATTTCGTTTCTTCTTTTTATAATTGCTTTCCGAATACTGCCTATTTTTGTCCAGATACAAGCCTGAATTTTGTAGCATCCCTTCTTCCCTTACCTACTACCTCAAGTTACCCATTTACTTCTTCCTTCCCACAGTTGAAGCTTGTATCCCTTCTTCGCACCGAACTCACCTTGAATCCGATCGGTGAGTTCTCCTGTATCGAGAAAGTGAGGCTGGACGTGGCGAACGTCGGCGAGTTGTCATTGAGGTCCAGCACGTTGATGGTGATGGGGTGGGTGGCCTGCCGGGGCGGCACTCCGCCGTCCCGGGCGACCACCTCCAGTCGGTATACGGCGCGCGCCTGGGTCAGGAGGTCGTGTCAGCCGGGAGCGAGACGCCATGTCACTGTGTCAGATGGGACCGACACCGTGTCATACGTCGTGTCAGACCTAACTGACACTGTGTCAGGCGTGTCAGACCAAAGCTGACGTGTCAGAGGAAATTCGGACAGCAATGCCGGCACTGAGCTGATCTTGTTACTGGCTCAGTTTGTCTGATTGACGGGGCTTCGGAACGAACAGGATTGTTACATAAATGCGAATCTATGATACGACTCTGGAAACAACAGTTGATTGGTAATTGATGTGAGATCGAGGCTAATCGCGCATCCCGCTCTTTCCTCTTTTCATTGTGATGTTCTCGAGTTCACAGGATTACTATCATGGTGTGACATTATGTTCTTACCTCATGGTCCAGCACTCGTGTGGTCGAAATCACGCCGGACACGGGGTCGATGGAGAAAGCCCCGTTCACGTCGCTGTCCGTGTCTGTGGAAGACCGGTGGCGACGTCAGAAAATTCAGAGTTCAAAGCAACTACTTCAGTCGGATGAACTAAGCAGTCGGTGGCTCAGCTCATTTGGGCAACGACTAAACACGCATCAGTGACGGGCAGTGAACACGATACATGTGTTTTCATTTCATTCTTCTTTTTATTTTCATGTTGTATTTCAACTACCATTCAGTTGATAGCGATCCGGACGAAGTCGTTTTCAAAGTAAACTTTGCAAGCTATTCCAGAGATTATGCATGCATTTGCATACATACCCACATGTCTCGGCATTTCCTGGAATGCTATCAGATTGCCGTCGCTCCCATTTCCTCGTAGTGGCTCTCCTTCACGAGTGCACGAACCCTTCCTGAATTCTGTTCCGTAGTGGCAGCACCCCTGCAGTACCCGCCCTGTGTTGGTCTCTGGACTCGCCCCAGCCTTAGCACGCCCTGTCAGGGACGGACGTCTGCGGGTTGACAGCCGCCGCCGCCGAGGCTGGCCCGGTCGGGACGGGTGCGCTGGGAGCCCCTGACTCTGTGCTCGCTGACAGGCCGCCCATTGTTCGCGGATTATGGTGCAGTGATCAGAACCAGAGGCTGAGAGAGGACCCGGCGGCGGTCACTGTCATCCGGCCACCGAAGGCCGGGTCATTGCACTGGCTCGGTGACTGGGGCCTAATGAGGGAACTCGGGACGGGAGGATGTTCCGGGGTGCGTTCTGATGGCACTTGGTGTGTGTGTGTCATGGAGCCGGTTGTGCGGAGGGTGCGGGTGTGTGCTGGCACGCTCCCAGTGCTGGGTGGCCTCTGTCACCATGTCAGCAGCCGCCCCGCCCTGTACCGGCCGCCCGGCCCGGCGACGGCCCGTCTCTGTCGCGGAGTTTATGGCGGCGATTAGCGATCGGCCGGTGGTGGCGGCTGTGACACCCCGGCAGGTCACAGGGTCCCAGCCGTCCGCCGCGCCCCTGCCGGCCCGCCCCGGCTGAATCCCACGCCGCGATCCGTACTGAGGCCGGCCAGTGATGGAACACATCGCCGGGTGGATGGCAAATCCTCAGTCAGGCCTGGACCTTATGTCGCAAACCACCACCCTTAGAACTGCGGTGTGTCATTTTCAGTGCCTCGGAAGACCTGACCCTGTACCATCCTCTCATTCAGACACATATTTACCTGAGCCCTCATCATCTACTCAGTCAACAACCTGTACCTGTGCATAAGAACACCTCACCGCGTCTGGCCCGTCCCAAAACATCCCGACCTGGTCGCATCTGACCCGTGCCTGAGTACCCGATCCTGCCGCACTTGACCCGTCCCCACTACCCCGACCCGCCGCCTCCCCTGTATCTGCAGCAGCGGTCTCAGCCTCTATCGCTCAGACCCACCTCCGCTGCCAGCCGACAATCCGCCGTCCATCCCACATAAGAACGACACAGCCGCGATTATAATTAATTTTATTTGAATTGATAAAGAACAATCTAAATAATGATTAAGGCGGCGCGGCGGTGTCTGCGGAGGCGACCATTACTGCCACCCGGCACCGGACAGCGGGCCGTCCCGTTACTCGGCACAGTCGCAGCATATGTTGCCAGATGCTATCCGGCCGATATAGTGCCGTGTATTTTTAGCCGCCGGGCAGGCTCTGCGAAATGTATGACCCGAAATGAATAGTGATAATGCTTGGCACCAGCCACTGAAGAATTTAGTCGAGCGCGGCGGCATTTGGATTTCGTGTGGGTCTGTCGGGTGTATGTCATAAGCGTGTAGGTATGTGTTGTTTTGTTCTCAGGCGAACAAGACAGGTATGAACTGAACAAATGAAATGTAATGTATCTGCATGCAATGTGACCCGTTACTTTTGATGTGCTACTCATTCATTGGACTTAAAATATGCCTAGAAGATCTCCTAATGTGACATTTAAAAATCGATTCGATCGATTTATGTCGAATCGTTCTAAGAAATGGTCATTACATAACATGAAATGGCCCCGCATTTTGTACGCTCGATGAGCTCCGCTGTTTTGTCGCAGTCAGTGGTGTTCAGCCGCACCTGGTTTGACTGCAGATTACCGTTTACTGGAAACTGCCACCTGGCTGCCGGTCGAGTTCATAGCCCATCTGCGACGATCGCTGGTGATTGCACCGATCACTCGATAAGTCCCCGTGCACGTCTCGTTGAACGACGGACGTCCTGGCTGACCGCCCGAGCGATGTGCGGAACCGTCCACAGACACCGCTTTCTGCAGCCGAATTGGGCACATAACTCACGCTAAGTGTCGCGCGGGCTCGCAGTGACAGGTCACGTGACAGGTCGCCGTGATGATGGAAGCTGTCACGTGACGGCGGCTGGCGTCCCGGCGGACTCCTCGCGTCCCGCTCGGCGCCGAACAATGGCAGCGCTAAGTCGTTTTTACGAGCGTCAAACCAACACGTTGACTGCGACTATTCCAAAAATGACGCTCGGGCCGCCGGTGCCGATCGGTGCACACTGCACGCCTTGCACAGGATGCCGTGCACCTGCTGTGCACCCATCCCCCGCCCACCTGTACGTGGGGTGTCCGGCGTCTGTCTCGTCCTCACTGAGCCGTACCGGTAGTGCACCCTTAGCACCTCGCTTGGCTCGTATAAACGGAATAATTGGCGTGATTCCGACCACAAACCGCCACCAGTATTTCACCGGTAATGCGCCTGGTCTCGCTCCGTCACGTCGTCCAACCACAGCTGTCGGCCTACTGTGACCGATATCTTCAAACCTCGGATTCCCGTATAGATGAACCACATCTCGCTCCAATTCTCGCCCTCCTAGCAGTGTGGTCACCCAGCCAATTCCTCAGCCCGAAGCGGCCATCAAGTCGCGTGTCATTCAGTGCCCCGCCAACCCTCTGCATTCTACCCATGCATGTTGACCTTATCCCGCTTCGTTTCGTTCTGTCCCCTACCCTTCCCTCTTCTTCAACCTTCACCCAAAGTCTCCCCTTCCCTCTCACCTGGTCCGAAGCTGTAGACGAGCGTGGCGTTCTCTCCGAGGTCGGCGTCCGTGGCGTGCACCTGGACCACCTCGAAGCCAGCCTGCTGCTCCTCGCGCACGCTGATGACGCCGTCCAGCGGCTCCAGGAACTGCGGCCCGCTGTCGTTGTCGTCCAGCACACGAACCTGTGAGGGCGGAGAGGCACAGAGGTTAGACGAGTTGTGGACTCGTGGGATGTGATTGTCGAGTATGCCCGGGGGAGCAAGAAGGCCAAAGGTATCGTGCTTTGGTATGCTGTACTGGCGTCATTTCTACAAAATAGGCTAGAGCAAAGTTACAACAAAATGCGCTAAAATTTGTCATTAACGAAATTCTGAGTGTAGGTATCAATTCAAAGTTTAAGCAGTGAGAGTTCGAATGTAATCGTCCAATCACTTTCACATAGATCGCCGATTCCCAGGCGTTTTTAGGCCCGCTGCCGGTCCGCGTATTGCAGCCAGGACAGCCCGTTAGCCACATACCCAATTACTGAGCTATGGCACTGTTGCTTTCTAAACTCGTGAGATATGTGCAGTCGTCGGTCACAGTAATGGCGCTGTCCCCATTCCCGTACTTTCATTTTGACGTCGCGCCAGGAACGATGTCACATATCGTCTCCTACTGCTGTATCCCCTTAGTAGTACTCCTAATGAACGTAAATATCGAAATATAATTGTAGTCAAGACATAAGCTGCACATAATCCGCTACTCCCGCAGCGTCCCTGGGTCTCGCTACCGTCCAACTCGCTCAGCGTCTAGCACTTAGAGCATTTGCAATGCACGCGAGATACAGTGCGCACTCGAATGGCTGACCTCTGTACCACACCTGGCGTTATCAAAATTGCACCCATCCCCACCTTAACCTGCGCCGAAGTGTCCAACACCCAGCACAGGTCGACGTCCTCCAATATCACCCAGACATCCGCTGAGCTGGATTGTGCAAGCGCAAAGATCAGTCACATTCCCACGTTGACCCAGCGTCTAATTGAAATGTTGATCCATGGGATAAGGGAACGCCGCGGATTCCTGTGCATGATCAAAGCTCCGCAGACGTCAGTAATTAGTGTTGCACCGGTCAGACACCGGAAAGTCGCGGTGCGGAGAGCACCCGGATCTGCCGTCGCTGGTCTGACCGGCCGGCAGACGACTCAGCTGATCAGGGGCTCGCGCGGGCACCGCCGCACCGCACACTGGTCGGAAACGCTCCAGCGAGAGGCCAGCGGCCTTTCCGCAAAAGTTTTTTGCTTGTTATTCCACAACTAGTGGAGCAAACTTCATAAAACTTTGCATACCTTCTCTGTCATATGTAAGCTATCATTTGGATGTCAAGCACTAAATATATGACGTGAATCTGTTAAGTTATGACGTCATAATTGAGTATAATACAGGATCTAGCACCACTTTAAGTCAACAAGGGAAATTGGGAGCTGCCATTCGGGCACCGGGATATTTCATGCACTCCTTGCAAGGTCCAGTGCTTGACTTTAGCATTGTTGACTTTGCGTGACGTCATTTATGACGTCACTAAGGCCATGTAAGTTTTTCGTCAATAACTCCTGATCAGATGGAGCTAGAGAGTCGGGAAAGCCACCATTGGACTCAGGAAGACCTGCCGAATCGAATGATATGCGATATGACCTCCTTCAACCATTTTCGTGACCTGAGGGGCTCCGACCTGACCTTGACCCGAGGTTAACACCTTAACCCTCGCCGGCACAGGGAGTTGATGCAACCCCCCTAAAGTTTTTCGCGAATAACTCGCGTAAAAAGCGGCCGATCGCGACGAAACTTTCAGTACCCTCGCATTGATCAATTTTACACCTACCCTGAAAATTTCATGACCCTGACCCCAATGACCTTTGACCTGTGACCTCTTTTCCGTGACCATGTTTGGCCGAAATCGCGATTCGGCGTATGTCGGCTCGCATTAGCCGCGCGTTTGCAAGCTTTTCGTGGTTTCAAACGTTCAAACATGTGATTTGATGTTGCTCCCATACATTAGGATGGGTGTCAAGGTCACCTGAAGGTCAGGTCAGGTCATTGACCTTTGTTGACCTCGGATGACCTCGGTTCACTTTTTCGAGTTTTACATGTTTCTAGGCTAGTTTTTGGAGCTGAATTCTAATTTAGCAACCATTTGAACATTTACGAAGTAGTTTTGGCGCCTTCGTAACATGTTACGAAGCTGTCAGAGGCGGTTGACACGTATTACGAATACCCGTCACAACCCCTACCGGTTGACCTGACCTGACCTGACCCGACCTGGTCTAAATGCTTAAAGACATCATCTCTGATCAAAACTTATACGATATTCGTGATCAGCACCCCGGAAACCACATAGCAGCCACATTTTACGACTTTCTAACAGGTCCCGATTTTCCCGGTTTTCGGGTCATTGACCTGACCTGGAAGGTCACCCGATGACCTAGGACCTTAAAATTGGGTATCATCGGCTTCCTCTCGTGACGGGCAACACGCTCGTTTTTTTCGCGAGGCTCTAGCTCGATCAGGGGCCAAACGCGAGGGGGGTCGTACCCCGCCTTGTGCCGTCGAAGGACGCAAAATGGCCTGTGCCGGCGAGGGTTAAGTTGACTTCACCCGAACACCAAGTATAGCATTCAACGCGCCTGGGCTAGACAAACACAATTATGCCAAAATCGCGGCAGTGCGATCATTTTTGGCAGAGTAATTAACCTAAAACCGAGCCCGTGCCTTGTGGCACTTACCTGACCTAAGAGGTCACTGGCTGACCTAAGACCTTAAAATCGGGTAGTACCTAATTTTTGCGTCTTATAACTGCACACAAGCTTTTTTTCCGCGAGGCTCTAGCTCAATTAGAGGCGAAACGGCGAAGGAGTTGTACCAACCCTCCCCGGTCAATGTAGAAAACCAATCGGTCCGGCCAGGGTTAAATACCGGAATTGTGATCTAATGTAAAAAGACGGCCCAAGGTAACCCGATGTCAGTGACAGGTGTCCTATATTTGCAGCGTCTAATATTCACGAAGGTTTCAATTTCCACTTTCTTCAGCCGAGTGATGGTTGTCAATAGCAAGGCTCTCTAAATGCAAGCTGTAATCGCCACGCAATATGTGGAAGGCTTTTGATGTCAATACATACATAAATGCATACATAAAACGCGCTTTTCACAAAATTCATAAACTCAAACGCATCTGTTTTTAATGACCAGTCAACTACGCATGGATGCGTGCAGGCCACACAGGTCAGCGTAAGCCGGGCGCGGCGACCGAGCCGAAACTGGGGCGGGGCGGGCGGTAGTTGGGTAGGAAGAGCGGCTCCTGCAAATTTTGCGCAAATATGCGCAGTTAGCTTTTATGTTGCCCTGGTGTAAATTTAAATCCTACTTCATCTCACAAAAAATCAGAGTGGAACTAGATGGGACTACCTGTTGTTTCCTTACCTAAACTTTGCAGTTATATTCCAGAATCACTGTAGGAGAGCCTTCATAAAAAAGCTATAGTACATCTTAGTTAGGGAAAAAGTATACCAAAAATTTTGCACTGGCCAGTCGGCAACTTCATAACGAACATTTTGATGCATAATATGTAGGATTTCAATTTCGTGTCTATCAGCAATAAGACTCTGAATATCCGGCTCAAGAAACCTCTTGCTCCGCGTCAGTTTCCGAGTTCTGGGATACCCCATCTTCGGGGGCTGATTACAGCTATTTTTGGTCACCCGGATTAGTTTTTTTGGCCTAAGTATAATAATTTGATCAATTTCAAATCGATCTATATAAAAAATAATCCGAAACTCCGGAATCGCCCGTGGCCTCTCGTGAGGGCGTTTCCGACCAGTGTGCACCGGTGCGGGTCAGGTAAGGACTGGAGCGCGACGGGGCGGACCCCGAGGGTCGGGCGTCCGTCGCGTCGGGTGCGCTACCTTGACGACGGCGGCGGAGCGTCGCGGCGGCACTCCCTCGTCCGAGACGTCCACTGAGAACTCGTACAGCTCGATCAGCTCGCGGTCCAGCTCGGCAGCCGTGCTGACCACACCTGGAACCGGGGCAGGGAGGCGGTCAGCATGTCGAACTGCGTGACAGGAACATGGTGCCCGTCAGGCGACGCCTCTGTTGATCAGTTTCTCAATGGTTTCAACGTCAGGCGCGCGCCACTCCTATGGTGATGCTCAGTAGGGACGGGGGGGCAGTGGGTGTTAGATAGTGGCTTTGCTCGGGAATATTGATGCTAAACGGAAACGGTGCTTGAATTGGTACTAGATTGGAGCCGCCTACAGATAGTTCGATGTTCATTGTTCAATGACAAACATGCACAAGACAATGGGGCAAGACAAACCACGGTGGGGGCAGCAAGTGTAAGCACATCTAGGCTTTATGGTCATCACTCAAACGCGTTATTAAAACCAAACCCACTCCTCCACATCCATGGTTTAAAGGTTCAAAGGACGTCATTGTCGAAAGTCTAAACATCGTATTACTACACGTACTTTTGACCAATGCTGCTACTGGTGCGAACTGCGAAGAGTCGCACTAAGTCGATTCACCATCTAACAAATCTGAGTGAGCTCCGGCCGGCTAATTCCGTCGCGGAGGAATTCGCCCTGTGTGTCCGAGGAGCGGCGATCCACCACGTCACCGGCGTGTCACCTCGGCGAGCGGCTCTGTGTCGTCACCGGAGCCGGCTGACAGACCGGTACTCTGACACCCCTCCCCTCCCTCCCCCGGGAGGTGACACTCCCGAGTGGGGGATCTCGGCACGCTCCGGCCGGCCGCCCGCGCCCTGCTCTTCAGTGACGCCGAGGCCGGGGTTTCCATACGTAATCCAATGAGCGGCGATTGCTTGATAAATGAGCCGGCCGGGCAGCTGGATGGACTGTTTCCGAGGCATTGATGTTTGTCGTCATTGCATTTGAACTTAAGACGCAGGGACAATCTAGTGACGACATGCAGAGAACCGTGTCGCTTCTCAGGCCCTTGTTGCCACTAGTTAGACGCTCCGCTCCGCGGCCTCAGTCGTGAAAGATCACGACATCGGCTTGCTCGGCGACAAACAAGGACAGTTCGAGCTGGTCTCACGGCTTGTCTCACCAGCGAGCCGACAAGACCGGCCTGCGCCCGCTTTGTTCAAAGGTCACCCGCCTGGGAATCGGCCGGACCTGCTGGATTTGTGCCGGCTCTGGTGACACATGCATGATGAGCCACAAGTATGCACGGTTTACACGGAGCCTCAGTCTCAGACGGAGACGTTCGCGATGCGCCAGACGAACGATGCTTGTCGATTCTGTCATAGACGGGCCATGGCCCTGAACCGGCTCCTGCTGGGCAGCTTGGCCAAGCTGCTGACCATATATGCAGAGATTTTATTTCTGAAATTGCAATGCTGTGATGCATCAGTGTATCTGAAGGCTAGTCGTGTCCTGCAGATTTATACAAGTGAATGCATTTTAGCTTATATATTAATCTATCTCTGGACAGCGTCTGCTGAACCATGTTCGTGCCTCTTTCGTGAACGTTCTGTTTGCCACAAACGATCGATTGCGGTCGGTTTCTGATTATCATCCTCCCCATATCGTTCCATCTGGTGATCAGTGCCTGCGGCTGGCCAGATGTCCTCGGTTCGTTCCAGTCTGGCCTCTTGTTCGTACTCTGTGACTGCTGCCGTCATCCCTCTGAACAATTCAAACCAAGCACCACAATCGGTAGCTATTTGGACTGGGATACTCGTTCCACCGCCGTCTCATCATCCTCTCTGTGTAGCATTGAATTGAGAAGGTAAACAGCGCTCGCTGATTGAATATCCGTCTCACGGAGTCCCACTTCCGTCCCACCATTTGCCACCACCCACCATCATCCCACCTTCCCCGTCGACCAGCACTCCGGGCCGGCACGCCTGGCTGCGGCCGGCCGCGACGGCTTAGCGGGATGGCTGCGACGTTGACGGTGTCTGGCCGGCCGGATTACCGACACGACGGCGACACGGGCCGGCATTCCGTCGGAGCCGCAGGTCCCCGAGCGGGACACGGCGACACACGCCACCCGGAGGATCAGCCGGCCGGTCCGCCGAGAGACGCCCGGGACCGGGGGTGGAGGTGGGGCGGTTCTCGGGACTGGAGAAGCTCGAACGGGACCAGTGGGAAGAATGTTTGACAGTGATTGGGCTTGGTTGATTAGGGAGGTTCTGATGTGAGAAGGTGGATAGGGCAGCTGCCAAGAACGGATGACAACTGCTGGGGTAGAACTGAGTGCGTTTGTGACGAGAGCGGGATAGAACAGAGTAGTTCTTGGGAGCGAGGTGGGACGCTTGCGTGTCAGAGTCAGACGGGATGCAGTGCTTCAGTGTTTGTAACCAGACAGATATTTGGACCAATGAAGGCAATGAAGGAGATGGGAATGAGCTGAGTTGGAAAGGTACGGTGGAGGCAAGATCAACACTAGTGTGAAGGAGGAAGATTCGTCAGTAGCGATTGAAGAACAATGTAATGAGGAAAATTGTATCTAGTGCCGCAATCTATCGTTTAAATGACGAACTTCCGATAGCTGACTGGTGATCAGTGCAGACTGCAGAATCTTAGAAGTATTACTTAGAGCAGAGCTAAGGAAACCCATTGTCTGCCGTTTTTTTTCAGCAAAAGCACAGATGATCTTCTGAACCTGCTGTTGCAGGACATGCCATCATTATCCAGACCATGTCCGCTGACCGTTGACGGACAGGGACACCCTCGGCGGCCGGCCGGTGACGTGTGGTGTCACCGGTGGTCGCCGGTCCTCAGAACAGGTGGGCTTGGTCGTGTCACCTCAGCCGCAGAGACGCGACAGAGGCGTCCGAGCGGACCCGGTTCCCAGAACGCGTCAAACGGAAACGTTGCTCCGGAGCAGGTCAGACATGCGCCCTGAGTCATCTATTGCAATGGGAACACCAGTGGAACAGGCTGGGAGAGACAGAAAAGTGCTGCAGATGACCAACTCTGGGAAACTTTCCGAGTACGGTCGTGAGCGGCTTGTTTCTTCAACAGAAAGGAACTCTGCGAAGATCACGATTGTTACATAACTCAGGTGATAGCGGCACATCTGAACGAAGAAGCTTACTCGGCAACAACCCAGTGAAAACAACAAAATGACAAGTCTAATGTTGCTAATCGCGAAAATTACTCAGCAATTCAATAAGTAAAGACAACCTCAACTTTTCAAACTTGTGACTCTATGTAGTTACCACACCGAGCAGCCACTCACCGGATCTGGGGTGCACCCTGAAGCTGGCGTTGATGGGGTTGAGGCTGTAGCGCAGCGACGCGTTGGCTCCCAGGTCCCTGTCGGTGGCCGCTAACGTCCCCACCACCGTCCCGACGGCGACATTCTCCATCACAGCCAGCTCGTACGTCTGCTGACTGAACTCTGGCGCGTGATCGTTGACGTCGAGCACCCGCACCAGGGCTGCCGTGGTGGCGGTACGCGCCGGTGTACCGTTGTCGGTGACCTGGACGGTGAGTCGGTACTTGTCGGCCGTCTCCCGGTCCAGCTCACCCTTCAGGTACAGCCAGCCGCTGTTTGGGAAGATGCCGAACAGTCGGCCGGGCGGCTCCACCAGTCTGTAGGTGAGTCTCGCGTTGTTTCCCGTGTCGGCGTCCGTGGCGGTCAGCTGTAGCAGCTGCGTGTTCACCGGCACGCTCTCCGGCACCGACACCTGGTACTCGTCGCGCTCGAACTGCGGCGTGTTGTCGTTGAAATCCTGCACGGCGATGTGCAGAGTGAGGTTGGCGGAGAGCGGCGGCGAGCCCCCGTCCGTGGCGCCCACCACCAGGTCGTAGGTGCGCCGCTGCTCGTAGTCGACCTTCTTCACCAGGGATATGGAGCCGTCCCTGGCGCTGATCCTGAACACGCCGTCCGGGTTCCGCAGCAGGCGGTACCGCACGCGGCCGTTCTCGCCCGAGTCGTGGTCGCGCGCGTGAGCCGAGTAGATGGCCGTGCGCAGTTCCGTGTTTTCCGGCAGGGAGAGCGTCGCCTCCACGGCGTCAAACTCGGGCGGGAAGTCGTTCACGTCGCCGATGGTGACGTTCACCTGTGGGCAGAGACGGATGGAGTCAGGACTCCTCTCAACGGCAGGTTGTCTATGGGCATCGCTGATTCCCTTGCTCTCTTATCTTGGAACATTATCTGTCAATGAAAAGAAACAAATGATTCACGCGAGTTCACTAACGCGTCAGTTTTAGGTGCTAAGTTTATTCTGCACTAATTATTTCCATTCCCCTGTGTCCAATGCTGGCGCGACTGGTTTCCACAACCTGCGCGTTTTGCCGGTGAGGTATCCGTATTTGCAGTGGCCAGGAATGCGTGTCGTGACCGGCGGTCTGCCCGTCACCGCTCTGGGCTGGCCGGCACTCCGCCTACCCCGGTCCACAGCGAGCCGGCCGCGCTCCGCTGACAAGACCTGACAAAGAAGTGGCTAAACGCGGCGATGTGCCGCGATACCGGCGAGGCGTCGGACCGTCTTACAGCCAGATTAGGGCCGGTCGACACACCGGGGCTGTAGGACCGGCATTCTGCGCCACCCGTCCGGTCAGTCCGCGGCCCAGCGCGGCGCGGCGGCCGGTCCGGGCCGCGCGCGCACCGGGCCGCGGCCAGCCCTGCCCGCGACACGCACTAAACCGGAGTTATTGACCCGCTCCGCGCCGCACTGCAGGCTCCAGCCTCTGGCTAACAGTAACATACCTGCTTCATATCTCCCGCTGAACTATGTATATCAATGAATCATGCTGGCGGTTCAGTTAGTCTCTATGACCAACTCCGTGCCCCCGTCGCTCCCCCCAGGCCCCAGTGCTCCCCATCGCAGTGACCCCGCCCCTGACCCCGGCGTGGCCCCGCCCCCTGACCTGGGCGTGGCCGTAGATGGGCGGCTGTCCAGACACGGCCTGCATGTTGAGCAGCACAAACGAGTGTTTCTCGTGGTCGAGCCGGGCGGCGGTGCGCAGCGCGCCCGACTCGGGGTCCACGCTGAACCAGCCGTCCGGGTCTCCCGAGTACACGCTGTAGCGCACCTCGGCTCCTGGGGGGCGAGAACGGGTGAGGGAGTTAGACCGGCGGCGGGTGGGTGGTTCTGGGAGCAGGTGGGCTGGGGTATAGTGGGAGCATGCGATACATTCAAACATTTAACAAAGTTAAATCTAGGCATCGCATTGAATCGGCGGCACCTTGCAGTTAGGGCTCGCAGCTCCAGGGGAGGGGTGTCACCTGAGTGGATTCTATGAGACATTCAGCACCCGTGAGGTCATGATAGGTCAGTAATGGCGCTGCCTGAGTGTTCTGTCTATCTCTGCTGAACATTTTACCGATAAAGAAAACCTTCTCTACTAGCATTAGTGTCGCCCGAAGCACGTGTGTATGTCACGGACACCATCTCGTTCGTTACGCATATGCATTTACCCCCAGCGGAGCGTGAGTTTATGACTGCGGATTGATTGCTGATACGATGGTCGTTGCACCAACGCAGAGATGTAGGAAGCAAGTGAACTTATGAAACGCATTAACCCTGCTGACAAATTGGGTACAGCTTGTCGGCACAAGCGGACTTCTGCTCCAAACAACCTCTGCTGAGGAGGACTCCGACCTCGCCGGCTGCAATCGTTCCGACCTTTGGGGCACGGGACGCCCGTCCCGGTTTTCATCGAGAACCCTCGGCGCGCTGCGCTGTGTACTGACCCGTCTCTCCGGCGGTGGCGCTGACGGAGCCGACCTGAGAGCCCACGGGGGCGTCCTCGGCTATGGCGTACAGGTAGCGGGCCTTCTCGAACAGCGGCGGACGCTCGCTGCCGGCCACCAGGCTGAGCGCCACCTCGGCGTTGGTGAGGGAGCGCAGCCCGCCGCCGTCCGTGGCAGTCACCTCCAGACGGTGGACGGACGGCGCCTGACCCAGCGCGCCCGTCACAAACACCTGGGGAGGTAGAAACATAGGTCAGAAGAGATCGCAAACACCTGCCGGGGTACAAACCCGGGTCAGAGTGGGACATCAGCGCTGACAGCACCGGCCACAAGCATTAAACGTAAAATTGCAGCGTATTTTACAGATAAGATTGAACAGAATTGTCTACAAGTAACAAAAGACGAGCTAAATGTGTCTTGAGCCCGTGTAACTATGTGTGAACTGTAAAAAGGGCCTCATTTGACGGGTAGTCTTCTTGCCCACACACTTCATGCCTAACAAACCCGGAGCCTTTAGCTAGAACGCTTCCTTGTGACCGCTCCTGTATGTGGGTCCGTTCAGGATGCTGGGCGGTTGTCGGGCCGCTCAGCACTTGTTAGCCGGTGTTTCTGCGCCCTTCACATCTGGCTGATGTACGAGACAGGTGGACGCGCCGTGGCATCCAGCACCGCTCCCTTGCGGCAGTCCGAGCCATTCCACGCCACGCCGGCCAAATTAGCATCGTGTGTCACGCCGTGGCCTGAAGCAGCTCTATGCGGGCGCATTCTAATCCTATTACTGGGCGTATCACGATAATCGTTCCGCTCCCGGTGACCGGCCACTCGTCACCGGGGCCACTGTCTCTGTGGTGGCACCCCGCCGGGCGACGTGCCCAGTCACCCGCCCGGCGGCCGGCGCAGGACACGCCGCGGCCACCGACCCCGCCTCACAGCCCGCTGGAACCCGCTCCCGGGTCAGAGGGGTCAATTTAACGCAATCAGAGTGGACCTGATGTACGGGTGTTGCAATTGGTGGTGGTCCAACTAACGGACCCGGATTCAACATAGGCATTCCTTCCTATTCCGCATGACAAATATCGCTTTCTCAGCTTCATGCACACCTATTTTCGTCAGTTACTCATATCCTCCATCACATACCCTCCCTGCACCCTTCCTCGTATCTTCCCTTACACTTCAAGTACCCTTCCCTTACGCAGCTGAAGTCACTGACTGTTCGATCAACCCGCAGCCGCCAACCGCCCTCCCTCTTCCTCTCTGTACCCTCCGCGGCGTTAACCCACCTCGCCGGTGCTGGCGTCGATCCTGAACAGGCCGTTGGCGTTGCCGCTGACAATGCTGTAGCGGATGCGTCCGTTGGAGGCGGCGTCAGCGTCTGTGGCAGCGACGGCCACCAGCGCGCCAGAGTTGACCTCGTGCTCGCGGAGGCTGACCTTGTACTCGCGAGGGTAGAAGGTCGGGCGGTTGTCGTTCACATCGCTGATTTGCACCTTGACCATGGCTGTGGTGCTCAGACCGCCTGTGGGAGAGGAGGGGGTCAGGTTAGCTCAGGTCAGGTCACTGGTCCGTACTTTGAACATGGCGGTGGTCATGAGACAACTTGTGGGGGATAGGCCAGGTCAGGTAAGGTCACTGAGCTGCACCTTGACTATTGCTGGGGGAGAAAGAGGGGTCAGATCAGGGCCCCATGGTCTGTCCAATCATAACTGAAGTGTTTAGATTACGCGTGGAAGAGTGATGGTTCAGCTGTTGCCGAAGAAATGCTTGGAGGAGAGGAGATGCTCGTCATGCTTGAGGACTAAAAGGTTCAAAGGCTAGACATTTCCGCCTCAATAAATCGTAATGGATTGCTATTCCGTTATCTCTGCAGCATAATTAGAACTTTCAAATTGTCGTCATTTTTCGCACAATTAAAATTATCACTTGCCTGATAAAATTACATGTATTTTAAGAACATATTCTTAGAACTATCAATGCTTATACCACGGTGCCAGTTTTTCCTCGGCTAGGTGTGGAAATGCTCAATCTCGGATCGCTAATCCGCCAGTATTCGACCATAAATCACCCCATACTGCTAACGACGACATCTCTTGGACGCATGACATTGGGCACCCGGCGGCGGCGCTGCACAAGTGTGACGCTGAATTAGCGGACGGTGCCTGTATCTGATGGCGCCGCGCCGCGCCGGTGCCTGGGTGACCGGCAGCGGCACCGGACGGTCGACCCAGGCGCCGTTATGTCTGGCGCTCCGTGTCACAGATCTCGTGTCGGCTCCCGGCACGGTGTCCTGTCTGGGTGCGCCACGGGGTCATTCCGGGATGGTGCTACCGGGTCGTTGGGGTCTCAGAGCCCTGGAGTCGGTTGCGTGTAACCCGATGGTGGATATAGGTTGCTTTTGAACTATGAATTTCTTGCGACAGACTCCTTTGCTGGTTTCTATTCAATGCAAATGAAGTTTAAAAATGTATTTTGGGAAGGGTTTTACTTTTCCTCCGTCTCTCCACACATTTGTCAAACACTATGTTTTATTGAATCATTAAAGGGACCCTCCCACCTTCAAAAAAGTTTATGAATTGGCATGAAAGTGATGTCGCTCGGTTCAGAAAGAGCGAAAACGAATATCTACCAAATTTCACCGAAAAATATTCACCGGTTTTCAAGGTATTAGACTTTTACTTTTGTTTACTTTTTGGGGATCTCCGCTGTTTCTAGCGACTTTATTTTAGAAGTGCGGCGTTTGCGGCAGATGTTGCGCGCAAATAGCATATACCACCGCGTGCTACAAAACGTTTTAGTCAAACATTTAAAAATCGTTAGATATTTGCGCTGACGTCACACATTCAGAGGGGTATTCCTAAGCATTAGCCCCTCTGAATCAAAATGCTGCAATTTTGAAATTCAATATTTCCGATTTAAGGCATTTCTCGATGTTATGAGTGCCGAAACCGGTAATTGTGAGCCAGGGACCCCATTTTGGCTATCTCAACTCAAATCTAATGTTAAGGTGGGAGGGTCCCTTTAACCGTGTTATCACACCCTGAGGCGTGACGCCGACCCATTTCTTGCCCGTCTCCCGGCCCTGTCTGTCTCCTATCTCGCCCGCGGCGGCGGTGGCGGCGGCGCCGGCCCGTCTGCCCGACCCGCCTCCACCGCGAGTCGTCAGCCGTGACAGTGGCCATTGACGCGTGTCTGGGACGAGCGTCTGTGGAGGACATCACACGACCGGCTCTATTCGCGGCGCTTCACCGGCCTGTCGTTTGTCACCGCACAGAACAATGCAGCGCCCGGGGATGGAGCTGTGAACCGGGAGTTCGCAGAGGACGGCCTGTGTGATTTATGGTGAGCAGACAGCGCGCGGCTCAGCTGCTTCGTGGCTAGTTTATTATGACAATTCGTTCGATAGAGAGATGTTTATTGACTAGCCACTAGACATATGTAGATGAAATTAATAGTGAGGGTCTCTAACATATCTTGGATCCTTGGATATTGGGTAACATTTGGTAAGATTCGATCCTTGTAAACCTTCCCGGCGAATAAATTTATCCAATGTGAAACAAAAGATGTTTCAATTATGTTTCTCGCCTTCCTTGAAGCCAACAATAAGCGCGGATCGAATCCATGCCACCCGCTGCCTTTTGGCTATACATCTCGTGCCTCCTGAAGATCAGCAAGGTGAGCTCCGTGTGCAATCCACCGTTCCTGGATTGGCGCGGCTAAATCGGGCATATGGTAGCGGAACACCGCACGGCATCAAATCATTCCGGGAATCCGGCCTGTCGGATCGCCGGCCGGGTGGGATGCTCGCTGCAGACATTGCAGACCGGAGTCAGCAGCGCACTCCGGTATGAAGTGAAGTGGCTTATAGTCAAATGAACACGTCTCTGGCATTGCTGGTCGTGTTTGGCGTGGTTCAGGCATACATGCATCGTGCTGGTATGCGTTTGCGGGGATAATTGTTATGTTGACGTAATTAATATGAAATGAAAATATGCATCTCTATTCGTCCTTTATAACAATGTCTAAGGTGTTTTGTTATCACGGACTTTGACCTGCCCTCAGTATTCCGTACCTAATCGTAAGTAAATAAGTATCCTATTCCTAACTCCTAAGCCGCGGCTTGGTACGCTACTCGGTTTCTGAGAAAAGCCGATCAGTGCTCCGGTCGGGTATAAGTACCGCGAGCGGCTCGGACAGGCCGTCAGCGCCCATCCTTTATCGGCCGATAGTGACCTCTGTTCGGCCTAAGCGGAGTCGCTCAGCATATCGCGTCGCGCAGTTTCTACTGCTCGCTCGTGACGCTCGCTCACTCGTATTTGTATTGGTTGAGGCGCGCGGTGCATTTGAGCCCCGGTTTTCGCTGAGCTGGCGTGACCACATGAAAGGCCCACCGGTCACCTATCTTGGTGGTCAGCGCGGCGACCGCACTTGGGAAACAGTGACTCGGGTGTCTGTCACGAGGGCAGTGATGGGGTGGAAACTGTGCCTCCCTCTGAGCTGAATGAATAGGCAATCGTAATAGACCATAGTCTCTACACCTCTGTGCAGGTTTACAGAGGTATCTGGTTGGCGTTTTAAACTTCTGATTTTAAGTAGGAGGCGATTTCGATTTATGTTACTCTCACGTGAACCGACCTTTGGAAAACCTGCCCACAACGAACCGCTTCGAGTCACCCCAATCCTGCACATACTGGCTGTTTGTCACCGCAGCTATCTCAGTTTCCCGCTGCCCCACCCACCACCCGATCGTCCACTAACCACTGCTCCACTCACCTCTGTCCATGGCGACCACGGGGAACTCGTAGACGGCCCGCGTCTCGTGGTCGAGCGGTGACGAGATGCAGATGTCTCCCGTGTCCGGCTGGATGGTGAACTGACGACCCCCGGCCAGGGTGTAGTTGACACGCGCGTTGACGCCACAGTCCGGATCGGTGGCCGAGACCTGGTGGAAGACAGAGAGGCGATTGGTGAGACGTTTGTCGTTTTGTTTGTCGTTTATTTACGATAATGGGCATGGTAGTCGCGAAGGACGCGCGGATCGTGAAATAAATGAGGGACGTTCTGGTCGATCTATCGCTGTCACTACGCCGTTGTAGTTGTTGATCCTGTGGAATGTTGCACCTGCAAGGTGTTCTGATATGCTTTTATGGGCTCTTTGATTGGCATTGGCGTAAAAATGCATTCAACGAATGTTACACATATGCGATGGTGCGATACAAACCAGTGCCGAGGCTACTGATTTCCTCTGGAGATGGGATTCGAAAGGTTGGTGTGAATCAGATTAACCCCTGGAAGCCTTGCTGAAGCTCAAGGGAAGGGTACGTTATACATGCATACTATATTTCATATACAATTTAATTCGCCATATTATTATTTATTTTTGCCATTGATCATTATTATTCTGGTTATGGATGCATGCTATGGTTCTTATTCAACCTTTATAGGTACTAAAATGCACTTTATTCCCATTTACGGAAAGAACAGCGAAACTGGTCCTGGAAAGTTGACTAAGGAACTGGCATCTCCGTCGATTCCGTATTCTAAGCACCGGACTGCAATGCAGTAGTCTGCAGCGCCGCTGCCCTCTGTTGAATAACCCATAGACTCACCATGGATGGGCACCGACAAGAGCTCAAAGCTAGAATCGATGCGGAACGGGGCCTCTGGATTCGTGTGATATTAGGCAGTGCCTACATCAGGGATTACATCCGAAGTCTCACTTAAAACGGTGCTCGGATGCATTCAATAAAACTGTCAGTCAGCTGCATAGCATCGCATAAGTTCACAGGCTTGGTATGGGACTTGTAACGGGAGTGAACAAGGCGTCACAACACTGACAGTGCTATTGAAACAGTGGTGATTTTCTGGGATCAGACTTGAAATATTTCGGAATCAGTCGAGGACAATAGTGGACAGAACTTCACCGAGTCGTGGTAGAGGCAGGGTCAATGTCCCGATAACAGCGTGTTAAATTCCCACCGGTACCGTGTTGAGATAACGCACATATGCGGAAAATTACAGCGAGCAGGACTAAATACTGCACGTTTGATTACCTTGATACATATCCATGGACTGTGGAGACTGGGGAGCTCATGGCTGACTCTGAGAACAGGTCTTGAATGAGATAGTGAGATTCTTGAGGCAAATTGACGGAATCAGTTCCTTTTTAGGACAGCGGTTGCGATCGAAATGCTTAAATGTCAGATTTGTTTGGCATGCAAAGAATTTACATTTTATGATAGCGCTGTGAATCACTGGCTATCAAGCTATTGACGAGAAGTGAACTTAGAGTGACTGATTTTGATAAGAAATCATTGTGAACTTCAACGTTCGGTTAAGATGAAAATTGGAAGCCTACGTGCACCAAGCCGCCGCCACCAGACTTCTAAGCGTCTGCTTCCGGATATTACAAGGTTTTTATATACCCAAATAGGGAGACCGTGGCTACACAAGTTAGGTTTTGGTAGACTTGCAACGTCTAGCACTCGCTCTATTCGCCATTCGACTCTGCTCTGCACGCCTCTCGTATCGGTCGCGTCGGCCAGCCACTCTACTCCAGTCCCATCTCGGCTCCCATCGCGCTGATGTCGGCCACCATCAGCCGGCGCCGCCGACAGCTCACATCATCATCATCAGCGGCGGTCACGACGGCTCCGATGACGGGCCGGTTCGCCGCCGGTCCGGCCGCTCACACCTCCGACTCGACCCGCCCGGCCGACCGGCGTGTCCGATAATCGAGTCTGGCCGTGCCCGACAAGCGAGAGACGCCGGCGCCGTATCCTCTGATGCCTTGCAGTCGTCATTAGTCAAACGAGGCCGCGCGGCGAGCCAGCATGGCTACCACCGTCTGCACGGAGCGTCAGGGAGCCACGCCGCGCACCGAGAGGGTTGCCTGGTGGGGAGGGGGGTCATGTGCCCCTAATGCCCCCCCCCCGTCCCTGGATACGTCACGGCGAGCCAGCATGGCTACCGCCGTCTGCACGGGGCGTCAGGGAGCTGTGCCGCGCACCGAGAGCGCTGCCTGGTGGGGAGGGGGTCATATGCCCCTAATGCCCCCGATTGGATCCGCCACGGCGAGCCAGGATGGCTGCCTGCCGCAGGGTGCTATGCCGCTACCCGGCAAAAGTCTGAGAGAAGACTTAGAGATGCGAGCAGGCTGTCTTTGGCATGTGTGCCGCCTTCCCTTATGCTGCCCTCCGCGCCTGAATGAAGCGGAACTTCGTCGAAACATGCTGCATGTTTTGCTCGAACAGAGTCAGCAAGCATGCTCCGAACATGGACAAACATTCTGGTCATTGCATGAGCAGTCCGAACGAAAGGCACGAATTTGGCAGTCTGCCAATTGTGTGCACTAGAGGTGGCAAAAGATGAAAATTTTGGGAACCAGACTCGAACCAGACCCGGCTGGACATTTCTGGAACCAGTCGGACCCGGTCTTAGTTGCAATCGGAACCAGTTGGACCCGTTCCCCAAAAGTCAATTAATACAAACTACTTGTAGGTATCATTTGTTGCATCATGTAAAACAGCCTATTTCCCACTGGGAATACTCATGAGCTACTGTGTGCAAAGAAACATTCACTTCATTCACTTCATTTTTGCAATAGTGTGTAATGTGCAAGATGTATAGTTTATGGTAGGACCCGGTTGGACCCGTCAGAAAATTTCCAGGAACCGGTCTGGACCCATATGGGTCCAGACTGGTTCTTTGGACCGGGTCCCCGGGTCCACATTTTGCCACCTCTAGTGTGCACAGACAGAAAATGGGAAGTTGCATGCTCGGTGATGAAGCAAAAAATATTAAATTTAGGGCACAACAGCACAGATAAGGAAGCGAGCTGAATTGAAATCGTTCCCTTCTCCTACCAGTGCATGGTTTCGTTTTTCAACTAAAAGGTTTTACAGGTATTCTTAGGACCAGGAATCAGCAACGTTCTTATCACAGTAATGCAGAGTACTTATTTGACCTCTAAAACAAGATTTCGCTTTCCACTCGATATCGCCCTAACATCCCAGCCGGTGTAAAAGCACACCGCTGAGCGTGCCGGGACGGCTCCGCCCACCGTGGTGTTCCATGCACCCGTCGTGACAGCAGTGACCTGTCACCGGAGAAGGCGCCGACCACGACCGCACGCAGGTTCGACCGCTCGACCCCGACCGCACACACCCCGACCGCACACACCCCGACTGCCGCCCGGCGACCCCATTACCGTTACCGTGCGTGCCGAGCCGGACCGGGCCGGGCCGACTCCGATAGAGCTCCGATTAGGATGTTCGTTATTAGCTATATTGTTAGTCGGTCGATGGGCTCAAGTGGCGATAATGGTGATTGGGGTTGGGCGGACTGCGACCCGGCGCTCGTTAGACGGCTGGCGGCGGTCTGCACTGTCTGAATGGTGTCACTAATGGATCAGCGGGTTATTGAGCCGCCTCTTATCCGAAGAGGCGGGTTTTTAGTTCCGTTAGTGTGCATGATATTGCTGTTACCGACCGGTAACGGGTCTGAAGTAAGCTCCGGTTATTGCCTCGCTAACGATAACTGAGTTGGCCAGATGGGCAATATGACTTCCGAAGTTGACCCGTGGGAAGCCTTATTTTACAGCCAGCCAGCGCTACTTAGCACAACGAGATGCATCGGCGATCTGGAAGCCGGTGTTATTTTTCTGTGGGACGATGCAGTCACCGGTGGTACCTTTATTATATCAACGTGCAGTCTCCAGTGACAAATAGCTTCGAGTAGCCTTACGCTCAGCAGCGCCACTGTTGTATCCGTTGTATCTTAGGACAGTCAAACTGCCTTACTCGGACAGCTTTTCCTCTTCGTCTCACCTTTTGTCCTTGTGTAATCCCTAGATATGTAAGTCCCACCACATTCCACTAGCTAGTCCCAACATACCTTCACACTTATTCGTCCTATTGTATCCCATTGTTCTATCCCATCTCATTACATCATACCGGGAAGTTCTACCTTATCCCATTGTCTCGCTCCCTCATCCCACCGGTCTGCCCCGGCACATCCCACCGATCATCCCACCGCCGCGCCGGGGCCGCCGAGGCGCCATGGCCGCCGCCAAATTAGCGTTGTAGCCCGCCTGACTGGGTGATAGAGACGCGCCGGCTGCAGGGGCGGCCGATTACTGCAGCCGGGCCGCCGCCCTCTGCAGCCCAGAGGAGAGGAGCGCGCTGCAGGCCGCCGGAACGGCACGCATTGTGTCTGGAAGAGCGGCCGGTGACGCCGACCGACACCCGCCCGCTGGGAGAGGCCGCCGCGCCGTGCCGGGACGGATTAGGCGCCCTCTCGGCCGGCTAATAGAGACAGCCGGGTGTTGTTGGCGTTTCAAGAGGATGTCCACCGAGTGTAGTGCCGGCGTCTTACAGAGCAGGTCGGCAGAGAGAATGAGCGGCGCCGGTTTAATTTGTCGCCCATGGGCGGGCTTCCCTGGCGACTGAGTGGCTGGGCTCTCCCGGGGCGAGTGGCCCGCTCGGGAAGGAACAGCTCAGTCGGTGTCCCACTGGGACAGGCCGTAACCGTAGCGGGGCGGACAGGCGACCGCGGCCCCCGCTGCGCGCGGCCGGAATTTACAGTGTGGCCCTGTCAGGCGGGCCGGCGCAGCGGCCGTAATGTCGCAGTCGGTCCGTATCACACGGCTGCGTCACGGACCCGGGGAGTCGCCGTAAGCCGTACCGCTGCGCCGTGACGCGCAGCAGCCGCGTGTGCCGGCCCGGCCGTGACTGGGGTCCGACCTGTGCACGATCCGTGCCGGCCCAGCGTAGATGTTGCAGGTGATTGCCGCCCCTATATGGTGCGCCAGAGCTCCGCTTTTGTTGGCTTATTGACGCGCTGTGACCATCGGAGAAAGACTGACGACATCCGCGCTGCAGACAACTATGACACCTACAGCCCTGACACACGTCTTGACACCCGCCATGACACCCGCCGCCG